TTCTGAAAGTTGTCGCAATCGCTTCCTCCGCACACTGTTCAGAGAAAAGTTGAGCTGCAGACGGTAACAATAACCGTTAAAACATATATAAAAGAGAAGGAAATCTTATTTTCAGAAAACATGACCATTTGAAATTTACATCACCTTCATAGGAGCTGGGCTGTTACAGAGCGTATCGAACTTAGGAGCAGGGTTAAGATTAAGTTGCGGTTGCAATGCCTTCAGAATCCGAGACTCAACTTCCTTGCGTACCAAAAACGGATAAAATAATTTATCACATCCTCAAAATGTTACCAAAACTATTGATTATAGGTTATTAACCAATCATACATACCATCAGATCACCATAGGTCCATGAATTATCTGAAATTAATGGAATATCTTTTACCACATTTTCCAAGGACATCTTTAGATGTATCTTATTGACAATAGGCAATCCATCAGTGGATTGAGCACCAGGCCCTTGTTCAGGAGGACCTCCACGAAAATCTCGCACCTACAGCAACGAATCATGACCATTTTTTTTGTGGAAAACAAATAATTTGCCCAATTCCAAAAATCTAAACTGGAAAAAGCAACAATAAAACCAAATATAAATATGTTTGAGACTAAATTAAGAATCTGAAATTCAACATCACCTATACAAGACACATGATCATGAACTAACATTAAAAGGATCAGAACAATATGCCCAAAATTTAGTATTCTCCAGCCACATAAGAAAACAGTTGAGCACTTAAGCTTCAAAACAATCTCAAACACAATGAAAGTATTGGCATTTATTTCACTAATGCTAAACTATATATCTCTAAACTGATACACACAGTGTTTTGGCTTGTTTTGGCTTCTATTCCTGATCTTCCCCATCCAATAAAATGTAGATAGTTTTTAAGAATTAAGCCAAAGGGAAACAATTGTCAAAGGCAGAAATCACATGGTGAACCCTCCATGGACTCTTAAATATACAACATATGAACACATGCATATTTCTTAGTTTTCTAATTTACAAATTCCATAGAATTTTCTTTTACATTCTGTAAATCGTCCTAACCATTATTTTGCTTCCTGAAGGTAAATTCATAATTTAAATAAACTCACCTCACAAACAATTGTGCCATCAACATACTTGCAAGGTATATCATCAAGAATATCTCCAGGCAATCGTCCACATTCAATAGCCTTGAAGCACATAAAATAAAGAAAAATTAATAAAAGGAAAAACCTCTCATGATGAAAAGAATGGCAGGAGACAAATCATATTTATTATACTGGATATTCATAGACAACAAAAGAAAATGCCAGTTGGGTACAATTCAGAGCGATAAAAGGTACATTTTGACAACCATAGAGACTACCAGGCTCATAACTAATAAAGATCAAAGTCAAAGAATTTGGAAGATAGATAAAATGGGAGCAGTGTCATGTAAAGTCCATGCTTGAAAATAAAATTTCACCACACTAGCTAGCTAGATTTGAGTAGGAACAAAAATACCATAAGGAAGTTAGAAATATGCTCAATGCCAATTTCTTAACAACCATAGAAAAATAAACTTTCCTTCAAGAAGACAGCCTATTCTGAATTTTGATGACCATACGATCCTAAATGAGAAAGAATTCTAAGATTGGGACCTAAGTAATTTCCAATATGAAGGCCAACAATTGCAGAATAATGCAAAAAATCCCCAGATATGATTTGTTTTGTATTTTATGAAAAGAAAAAAGAAATTTTGTATTAATAACAAAAGAGAAAATATCAGAAAGGAGGAACAAAGAGTCCTCAAACCTAATAATTACATAGAAGCCAGCAAGCCATCCAATTTCAAATAATCTAAAACTAAATAAATTGATGAATTAATAAAAACCCATCAACTACAGTCTAGTAAACCAGTCAATATTTACAAGATCATAAAGAACTGTCTAACTAAGAAGACCTATGTGGAGAGAGATGAGAGAAAGCAAACGACACTTACAGAAAACAAGTTTTCAGATTTTCTGTCATAAGGAAGTAACAACTTTGAATTGTCTTGTAATGTACTCGGGTGAGTTGGCTCAATCTAAAAATCACAATTACAAAGCTAAGCATTAGTTTCGATGCCCTTTGCTTCCTAGTTACAACTCAAACGAAGTAATGCAATGTTCAACAGACCTCTGATGGTTTTCCAATAGAATATCCATCTTGAAAGAGGTTTAATGTGAAGGAAACTCCATTCTCTGAAAGAACAATATTAATTTTTAAAAGAAAAATCAAGAAACCAAAATATAATGAGATAGTTCCTAAAGTCAATAGAAATTACCTGGAGTTGAACGACCTAAAGAAGACTCAGATAACCCAATCAACCCTTTTACATCCCCACTTCTTTCAGTTTCACCACCCTGTTCCATAGAGAATTCAGTGTATTATAATACCAAGTAAACAGAATTAACATCATTGACTTATACACAAACTCAATGGAATCTTTTGCTGATTTCAAATTGTTGGGCAAATACAACTTTCAAGCTTGAAAGTAGATGAAGAACAATAACAAACCATCCACTACATCATCATTATTAAGTTTAGAATTTCAATATAGTATTTGAACAATCAAAACATTTTCAATTTAGCACTAATACTTTCAAATGATCCATCCTGGCTCGGAGACTAAGAGTGTGTAACCAGCATACATCTTTTGATTTACTTACAAAGACACCAAATTAATATCCGTCGTAACAACAAACAAATGAACTGAAATCAGATTTCCACAAAGAACCAAGAAATAGAACGTACCTTAAGTTTTCGAGCTACAGAAGATTCGTTCTGCGATAGAGCCCTCAACCCATCCTTAGAGTCATCATCACCAAGGGCAGTACATCCAGATTGGGTAGTACAAGGCTTTGAACGAAACCTTTTACCCTTTTGCGAGATTTTGAAGGAAACGCCCATTTTTCCTCAGATGCGATTTAATTACGATAATTCACAATCTTGCAACGCTAACAGTGCGGACTGCGGGATCGAGGAAAAAGGAAGATTTGGGGAAGAAGAAGAAGAGAAACTCGAAGTTCCACTTTCAGAGGAAAATCAAATCGAAATAACGTCTTTCTCATTCGACATTCTCTCTTACCAAGCTCTCGTACTCGCCAATAGAAAGGAAGGAAGAAACTGCAAGCTGTGAATTCATGGAAATTAAGCACGCGAATTCGGCTACACGATCTGGAAAATTTTCCAGGGCAACGGGAATTTCATCGCCACTCCTCTCCTCTCTACTTCTCATTTGTGGCGCGTTTCTTCAATCGGAAGCCTCATTCGGAAACATCAAACCTCTTCGAACGGAAGTAGAATGAAATGGTTCTTCACCAATTTTTTCCCCTTTTGAACTCCACGTTCGATCTTTCTCTAGCTCAACACGATTCGATTGGCTACAAGTTTATAATCTATTGAACTCCAAGCTCTTCAAATTTTAATTTCAACTTATTAAAATTTTTACAATATTTATAAATTTATTATTCACAAAATTTAAATCCCTATGTTCTTACTTGATAGCTCTTCGCATTCAAAGTTGAATTTCATGTGAGATATTTTTGAAAGGATAATAAAAGTAATTATAGTTATATCGATAGTCGGAACGAGCAGTTTACGTTTGAGATAGGTTATGCTCCGACGTGTATTTTGTCCGTTGGTAGAGCATTGGGCTTTTAACCTATGGTCGCACATCACGAGATTGATGAGCATTTATTAACGTAAATCTATAAATAAAAATGAAGACATGTGTTTAATTTATATTTAACTTTGAATCTGAGTCGGAATAGTGTTATCAACGGTATCGCTTCTAAAACTAAATGTACTTGACATTGAGTAATTCTAGGGTTTAGGGTTACGGGAATGAAGACAAAAAGTATACTGAAAGACGGGTGTTAATTTTTAAGGACATTTTTACAAGTAAACTCAAGATTAGTAGGTGAAATAAGCTCGAGACTAATAAGGATGAAACCTTCTATATGAAGCTCATTTCCAAAGACGCCATTGGTAGCATTGGTATTATATATGTGGATGGGTGAGTTAATCTCATCCAAAGGTATGGAGTACCAAACAAATTTATCAATAACTGGATGAACAATAAAAATTATTAGTTTAAAGAAATTGTACATACAAAAATAAAAACTATAATAAAAATATTTTATTTATAAATACACTAACTTATATGTGATTGACGAAGTTGGAGGGTCTAAGTTATCAGAAAAATAAAAATAAAAATTATAAATGGTAATATAATATTATTGGAATAAAGAGATAATAAATACATTAAAATTTAATACTATTTTAGGTCAAAATATTGTGGAAATTTTTTATAAAACTTTGATATTTAAAATCATTTATTTTCTACCCAGCCGGATGAGAAAAAAAAATGATGGAAAAGTAAAAGAAATTATAAAAAGAAATTCCCAATTTAAAAAAAATTAATTTCAGAATCTATAAAATAAAAATAATATGCTTTAAAATTATTCAAATGGAAATATATACTTTTGTTTCAAAAATAGTATTAGATCAAGATATTAAAGTGTTTTTTTTTAAATATATAAAAAACTAAATAAAATAGTATAAAAAAAACTAACCATAATAAAATAATATATAAAATAAATTAAATAAAAAAGAAATAATATCTTCTAGTAGAGTCGTGCCCAAGTTATAGTAAAGCTGAAGTACTACGATCAATGAACACTCTAAGTTTCTTAATATATATATATAATAAATTATTTTTGCAAGTTTTTTTTTTTTTTGTCCCATATCCAACCCAACCCCTATAAATCGGGATGGGTTAATCTAGATTGTCAGGTTGAATACACGCCCCTTAATTCAGATACAATTTTAACTGCACCAACTTGGCAGCATAATAAACATTGAACAGCAAGGGTGAGGAAGTTGCATGTTCTTTTGTTGCAGTCTGTGTGTAATGGCACAAAACAATCATCATCATCATCATATCTTCACATAAAAGGAAGAGGAAATAGAGAAGACGAGAAAGAAAGAAAAAAAAAAGAAAGAAAAACTAGAATACCAAGGCTATACCCAACTAGTGTGTCCTCTCCTAAATACCACCACCACCACCAAGGATACTCGGGTACACAATGATATCATCTTTCCATAAACACTACTGAAAACTCAAACACAAATTAAAAAGTAAAAAAGGATCATACACTAAGGCTCATCAGACAACTCTCCACAAGAAAAAAAGAAAAGAAAAGAAAAGAAAAGAAAAGAAAAGAAAAAAAAGATGAGATTCAACCAAGCACTCCATTTTGTATACATCTCTCCTCCTCCTCAGCCTCTTACTGATAATACATGAGCTGCTGAGCTGCAGCAACGTTCTGAAACCCACCATCATAGATGGCTTGACTTGAGCCAGCAGCACCACCCATCCCCATGGCTGCTGCCTGCTTTAAAGGATGTGGAGCCTGGGGGTGGTGCATAAGAGCATGGACGCCCCCCATTTTGCTCATTGCCAGTTGCCGCTCATATGTTAAGAGGTCAGTTGCGGACAGCCCCTGCATCGGAACTGCTGCAGGCGGAGGAAGTGGGTTCGAGATAGTTCCAGGTGGAGTTGGTTTGCTTCCCCAAGAGCACTGCAAACATACAACCAAGCGTTGTATAAATTAGTCTTGCACATTCAAGCATACATGCAGTCGTTGCTAGCAGCTCTATGAAAAATGTGCAGCAGCTATTGTTCCAATAGAAAGAATAGAAACTTTGATATTATGAGCATAAAACAAAACCTTGATCTGTTTTCCGCAAAGAAATGACTGAGTATTCCCCATCTGAATAGCCAAAGCTGCCTCAGCATGAGTGCTATATCTAACAAAACCAAAACCTTTATCGCGCTGGATGCGAACCTCCTCAATCACACCAGCCCCAAGAGCATGAAAATGGCGATGAAGATCAACCTGCGTCGCCTGTATAAACAAACAAGGAACAATTATTCAAAAATCCAGAAAGCTAGTAGTTGTCAGATGAGCAATAACTCCTAAATATCACCCACATCAGACAACAAAATAAACACTGCAAGATTAAACTTCTAGATAGGATGAGGTATCTTGCCTCTGGAGCAAGATTGCCAACATAAACAGTAGTGTACTGAGGATTGTTCTCCGGGGCATCACTATTAACCGTCTCTTTACCATCTTCTGCAGAAATTTCAAAATACGTGCAGTATTGTCAAAAGCTTGGGGGGNGGGGGGGGGGGGGGGGGTGGATCAATTCTCAATACAAAACAACAAAAGTGAGACATTCTAAACTTGTAGGTTATAATGAAAGAATTGAAAAGCATCATTAATGTTCTGGAACGAACACTAACCAGATGATCCATTCGTAAGTTCTGCAATGCTTTTAACATCTGAGCTCTGCTTGTCTTCATTGGATCCAGCACCTTTGGTAGCCCAGTTGCAGCGAATCTGTCGACTTCCAAGCCACTTACCTGAAGCAGATCATATGTAGTGAGAAGTAGGATGCAAAGATGGTAAGAAGACCCTTACAATTATTAAAGTAATTATTGGAAAGATGTCAATTTCGAAGGTCAAAGACAAGACACTACTTGCTTTCATGTTGTTATGCACGATAACAATATACCACAAAATTAAATGAAATAGCAGATGAAGAGACCATCAAGCTATTCTTTCTTACAAATGTTGTGAACTAATTAGTCTACAATTGACAATCTACTACAAGGTAATTTAAACCATAGTCCTTACCAGTCAGGTCATTTATTGCACTTTGAGCATCCTGGAAAGGGAGCATAATTTAGTAACGAAAAGAGAAATAATAGAAAATAACATATTTGAAGTAGATGTAGCTTGAACCTGTTGGTTGCGAAAGGAAACAAAACCAAATCCCCTTGAACGCCCAGTCTTCTGATCCCACATAACTCTCGCATCGCTGAAACCAATTATACATAATATCAGATATTGATGGTTAAAAACAAAAAATTATTAACAAAAAACTACTCACCCCCAGGATGAGAGCATGATCTTTTCCTCTAACTTAACTTAAATTCAAAGAAACAATCAAATAAAAATTAGTTTTCAGGAGCTGAAGCTTACGAACAGCTAGGGAATACAGAGAAGCATGCAAACAGAGTAGAATCAGTAACTTCAGGACTAAGATCACCCACAAAGATGTTGAAATGACCTGTGCACAAAAAAAAAAAAAAAAAAACGGGTGAATATAGAAGGAATTAATAAAGAAGTGGCAACTCACAACCATTAATTCAAAACAGATCCAAAACCTGATGTATCCTCTCTTTGACCACTAGCATAAGCCCAATTTACTTTGATAGGCTGCCCAAACCTGTAAAGCACATATCAAGGGAAGAAACAGAGGTACAAAGCATGGAAAATACCAAATTTAGTTTTATGCTTACAAATGCCTCCCATTAAGTGACAAAATAGCCATAGCAGCCGATCTGCGATCAAAATAGTGAATAAATCCATAGGATGACTGCATAAAGCAGTGGCAACAAGGATGTTAATAGACAAGGAAAGAAACAATTAGATTTAACCTATTATAAGAAAAAAATATATATATATAAAAAGAGAGAGAGAGAGGTATATAAAATGTTTTATGAGCTCCGTTGGACCAACCTTCTCCTTCCTGACAAGCTTGCAGTTTTCAACAAGGCCTGTACTCCCGAAAACCTCTTGAAGAAGTGGCTCTGTTACTTGTGTATGTATATTTCCCACGTACCTGCATTTCCTCGAAATTAAAGAAACTAAAAGTTTTCAAAAGGAAAAGAAAACAAAGAAAATACAAAAGATACATAAGTAATCAACTACAGTCATATACGTATACATAAAAAAAAAAAAAATAATAAAAAATAAATAAATAAAATAAAAACACCTAGAAACTTGATTGATATTTGAGAAATAATGTTAAAGCAAAAGTTCAGAAAATCAAACAATTGGGCATCCAGTGACTTGGGAATAATAGATACTAAAAGCAAGAGAACTTGACAGTCAATAACAAATCTGTGATAGAGAGACGTGAGAACTGCAAGCAAACATAGGATTCATAATGCAGACAAAAAAGAGGAGATGGCATTAAGGGGATAAAGCGCCTTGAAAATCACTTACACACTGCGGCAGGTGCTTGGATCAAAGCCTGGGGGTAAATTTCCACTTGGAATTGGTTCAAGCTGTGCAATGGAAACAACAAAAGATATAAAAAGGAAGAAAGAAACTAATGTGCCTTTATGAAATGAGTGGAGGACAAAAAGAAAGCAATTATGCCAATTAAAAGAAATCTTGTTACAAAACGACGGCTGAACCACGATGGAATTTCAATCAGTACATTGAAGAGACAGAGACCACACAAGTATGAAAAAAGAAAACAATCAAAGTATCAGGAAAGACAGACCAGCGACCAAGCACTCAAAACTTCACAACATCGTATGTAACTTCAAGTCTAGTATTATAAGTCAGCTGTCATCAACAAGGATGGGAAGTGATGAATAAAATAATATAATCTACCTGCACCCCAGAACGAATTGAAAAATAGAAAATAAAAAATGCAACACAAACATCTTGCATCGACAGAATATACACCAAATGGAAAATTTAAGCCCCAGAAGTGAACCACTGCATGGAACATCCTACCATCATTGACTGCCCTTGAGCATACAAATGGGTCCTATGTCTTCATTAATTAAGAACAAAAAAACAAAAAACAAAAAACAAAAATTCCAAACGAGCTCAAGGTTTCCCAGCAGAAACCCACAACTAAAAAGAAACAAAAACTCCAATATCCATCACAAAACTTCAAGCATCCACAACTCAAAACCATACACAATTAGCGAAACACCGCTACAACAGCAAGCACCAAATCGGCCGTAACTTCAGAGACACATCTCCGAGATTGACAACCCAAACACACAAACAACATGCAGAATTGAACAAAACAAAAGGTGTAGATCATAAAAATGTGAACGAAAACAAAAACAAAGAAGAAGTCGAACCTGAGGGGGAGCTAAAAGACCAGGATGATAAAGAGATTGTTGCTGAAGCAAAGCTTGCTGCATCAAAGCTTGTTGTTGTTGTTGCTTCAATCTCTGATGTTGCATTCTTATTTCCTCGATCAATTTTCCGTCAAAATTAACGAAAAATTTTACCGGGAAGAGGAGGGGTTAGGGTTAAGAGTCGAACAAAGGCGAGAAAAATTAGAGAGGGAAAGGCTTTTCGGGGTTGGGGGGAAAGAGGATTCGATTGCGGGTACTAAGTTGCAAAACTTATAAAATGCCGTTTCGGGCACGGGCGAAGATATAGTTACGGACCTGTTACGCCCAAATATGCAACAGCCAATCCAATCTTGACAACTATCGTCAAATTGGTTGGCCTGTTTTCTAGCTGACCTGATGAACGTCTGTCACAGCTCCTATTTCTTTACATTTCTAGGGGACAATTCAGAAAATTATAATCTTTTTATACATTATTTTCACTATTTTTCTTAAATATTTCCATATAATTAATTAATTAATTAATCAATTATCTTCCCTAATAAAATAAAATAAATAAATAAAATCTTTAATATATTTATAAATTTAAATTTTTTGTGTCTATAACTATTATAACCCATAAATTCAAAATAATAATAATAAATCTTTAAAATTTATAGCATATTATAGTTTTAATTATATTCTCTAAATCGATGACATATTTTGCACTATAAAAAAAATTGAAATAATTAACATTTTCTAAAAATTAGTGAAATTTTTTAAAAGTCTCGACATCATATTTGGTAAATATTTTATTTAGTTCACTTGAAAAAAAATATATGTATATTAATATAATCCTCACATGTGTTATTTTAATATAATATGAAAAATATACCATAAAGTTCCTAACTAATTTGAAGTTTCTCAAATGTTCATAAAATTGGAGAATCACACGCAAACTATGGAATAACTTTGACAAGAAATTTGATTCTACGTCTCATATTTACTTACTCGAATATTAAGATATCGAATATTTCTTTGTTAATATCTCAAGAACAAATAATAATTATAATAACTCGGATGATTAGTAGAACTATTTTTTCCACTATGGCATTGAAAATTTCTTTAGAAGAGAAAAGAAATACATGAGATAATATTTGTTAGAAAGGCATAATTGTTGGAAGAGCAGTGATATATGACACAAAATAGCAACTAAATTGTGGAGAGCTATCTTCAAGGGGATAGATATGCAAAACCACGTTATAAGTTGAGATCCAAATGCCTTGGGAAGCCTTCTTCAGCTTCAGCCTCGAGCACGGGAACGGGCTCGGGTCCGGGCTCATTGGCTGAGCTGCTTCCACTTGCTTTAAAAGTAGCCTCAAGCTGCTGGTTCATTTGGTATGGCGCTCTTGCAACAGCCCTGATCATAAACAACACGACTCGACTGACCTCAAAAACAAAGAAAAAAAAACCCATCCTACAATCATATCTAATAAGATGAACTCATAAAAATAACAAAAATATTGTCATGATTTCTGCCATTTACAAGATTTTTGCTATAAAAAAAGAACAGAAAACCCAAATCAGGATTTATAAGAGAAGAACTTGAGCAGAGGGCTTTCTTCACAAAAGAATTATAGAAAAGCTATACCTGTCCTTTCTTTTCTCAAGAAATCTGTGGAGTGAAGCCCTCCTAGCAATAGGCAAATCTGTTTGATGAATTAAAAGGGCACAAAATCAAATTAGGAACAACAGATTAAGATAATCAACCAGAATCTATCTTTTGAATTTCTGTGTTCATGGTGGTTCATTACCAGAAGAGTTTTTTGCTTCCGGTTGCGGTTTCCGTTGCTGCTCCGGCGCCGGCTTGGCCGGTACAGGAGCTTGAGTTTTGGCCACAACATTTGGCTCGATGGCCGGAGAGTTGTTGTTGTTAGGTTTTTCCAAATCAGAACCGAATTTGGTGGGGATGGCTGTAGGAGCGGTGATGGTGGTGGCGCTGCGGCTTCCCTTATCGGCCAAGGCCATGATCTCTTTGGCCCTTTCGTTTGGAAAATCGTCGTACACCAGAACTTTTCCGGCGTAGAATATGGTCATTTGAGCGGTTGCAGGCTCCGGTGAGGGCGATCTCCTGATTCAATTCGCCATGAAAATAATCAGAAATCAGAACTCCATTTCATAGAGATGTAATTTATTTACCCTAATTTCCTTCCCATTTTGGCAATTTTCAGCAGAGCAACAGCAGTAAGGAAGTAAATTAAAAATCCGTACACAATTGGAAAAGGAAATTAGCCCTAAAAGTGTGCGAGTGCTTCTAAGCACCTGAACTCCCCTTTGTTCATGGTGTTATTGGAGAATCCGACAAACTTCGGCTGATTATCCTTCTGCTGCCGTGTCGCATCGGAAGAATTAGGCGTATTCGTCATAGACGGCGGCGGAGGAGGTGGTGGCGGTGACGGCTCGGGCTTTTCCAGTTCATCTACAACGTATCCGAAAAGAAAGGAGGGGAAAATTCTCGGGTAAGTCCAGGAGGAGTAGAATTCAATTATCTCAGATAAGATCTAAAAAAATCCTAGGGTTTTCAAAATTCGTAAGAAAAACAGAATCAATTCGTTTCTTCGAAACGAAACCAATACCTCTCGGCTTCTTCCTCGGAGCCTTATCGGAGTTCAAATCTGCGAGACTTCGTTTCTCCTTCAGGAACTGGCTCAACAGGCTACAGGTCTGAGCAAAGTTCGATTTCCCTAGCCGTTTCGCCAACAGCTCTCGGTCGACAAATCTCGCACCTCCGCCGGCGTCCGATGGATTCGACATAACCAAAAAAAAAAAAAAGAACAACAAGAAATGAATCAAAATCCCCAAAATCCGCAAGATAGTTGCAGAATTTCAGGAGTGAAAGGAGCAGTGAAGATAGTTCCCCTGGCGAGAGATAACCGGCGCTCCGGTGGTCGTAGGCGGCGGAGATGGAGAAAACAGGCAATATGAACGTTCAAGTTTCTTCACATTCCCAATGGGAAAGGAATTTGGTCTCTCTCCGTGTTGATTTGAGAAAAAAAATAGTTGAAGCACGTTTTTTTTAAGCATTAAAAATAAGAAATTCTCTCTTTTTTTAATAAATTAATTTAATTTTTAAATATTAAAGGTGGAATTTGCCAGAATAAAAGTCCAAAGAAAAAGAATTATGACTACGACCATTTGTGTTTTTTTTTTCTATTATTAATTCTATAATTATTATTATTATTAAAGGCATAAAAAAATATCTTACATAATCTTCAATTATTTTTTTAAATAAAATTTTGATTCATTAAATTATTCCCTCTTTAACAAATTAAAAAAACAACCCCATAATTAACCTAATCTTAAAATCTATATTTTCTCGTGTGTACGAATTTAATCGAAGATAGTGATTCAAGAGCTTAATCAATCCAGATTATTCAACCCGAACCCGTGTTGATTTTTTTTCTACAGTTAAATTTAAAAAAAAAATTAAAAATTCAAACTGAAAGATTACAGTCCAATATAACTCTACCAGGCCAGCTTTAAAAACCATTATAATAATTAAATATATTTAAGTTTTATAAAGATGTTAGTAACCGGATGTATTATATATGGTAAATAAATATAAATTTTGGATAAATATTTTAAAAATTATAAATAATTTGGGGAATTATTATTATTTTAAAAATAATTTATGGTGGGCCATATTTCACGTTCATTCTGGTAAGCACATGGGGTCTCTCTCCGTTTGCGTGTGTGAAAATAACAAACATGTGGGCGTCTTTAATTCACAATAATATTCTTTTTTTTTATTTATTAAATTGGGTCAATATTTTGTTTTTTTCTTTTCTTTTCTTTTCTTTTTAACTCAAAATTAATAAATATATATATATATATATATATAGCAAATAAAATGAATTATTTAGAAATTAGAGCACGTGAGAAGCACGTGAAATCTTTAGGAGGCCTTCAGAATTTTGATGGCCAAAGCCTTTTCAGCCATTTTTATATTCCTTAAATTACAAATTATAAATCACAATTTTTATTAGACTATAAATAATTAATTAATTACTTAAATCTCATTTTAATTTCTAAATTTCAAAATATAAATTTTATTTTCATCTTTTCCATTTTTATTTTTAAAGTTTAATAATTAAAATTGACTTTTCAAACGATAAAAATAAACAAAAATTGAGATATATATATAAAAAATAATAATAATAATAATTGTACCGTGCAATTATGAAATATATTTATATTTAAATAAAATGTCGAAATACAACTTCATTAATTAAAAGTGAGGTATAATGAATTTAATAATTTATTAACTTAATTATTAAATTATAATATTAACTAATCTTCGTGTTTAAGCAACACATATGTTTATTTTTAAGGCATGGCGTGTTTTAGAAACACACAATTAAATATTCATCGAATTTTTTTTATCAAATTAAATAAATAAATTTTGTGACGTAATTATGAGTTGTACATCTAGAAGTTACACGTAAGCACGAGTGACTAACCCATTGAAAATGGTGATGATCGAGAATCGAACGGTACGAGAAAAACGTGAATTTGCAAAAGTAAATAAAAACATTATTTTTTAATAAAAAATTATATACTATATAAAATATTACACACGTGCCATTTTTACTCATAACCCTAAATAAATAAATAAAAGAGGTGGGTCCCACCAAACACACAAAGCCGCTTTATTAACACGTTTTATTATTTATATGTAATAATAATAATTTATATTCTTTCAATTACGTTTTCTATTTTTTTTTATGGGAAATTAATATTAAATACCTAAATTCAAATAAATATTAAAATGTAAGTTAAAAGACTATTTTACCCTGCCCGTGTCCCTACCCTGCCCGGTGTCTGGTGACCATAAATTAAATTTGGAACTTTTAAAATGTACTGACAGCACGTGTTTGGCAAGGTGGGTGGGTAGCTTGACTTTGAGTACAATCCTTATAAAAACATTTTTTTTTTCAATAATTGAAAAATAAATAAATAATTGTGTATATAATGTTATTGGAAGAGGTTTTTGAGTAGGGTGTGACGATTTAAGGTGGTTGAGGCTCGATGTGAGTAGAGAACACAATATGATATTATTTGAGCCTCCGGTATCTGGGGGTTTCTTTGCGAATTGTTCGGCACGAGCATGGTGGAGGAAATTAGATCGAGGAACTTGAGGAGGCGAAGAACCAACTTCCATTGAGGTGAGTTTTTCTCGTGGGTTTACTTTGAGTTTCGTTCCACTAATGTGACATCAAATCTTAATGGAATTAGGGGATTCTTGGACGTGTAGGTTCGAGAGGATACACCATACAAACTTGAAAAAGAGATCGAGGGCTAACAATCACACATGAGAGAGAAGGAGTTGGAATTTGAGGTAAGGAGTTTCTGGGTTTTTGCGAGGGTTTTTTAAGTTGATATGCTGCTCGGTCTCTAATTAAATTCTATCTCAACAGGTTTGTAACGGCCGAGATCCACTGTCAGCAGATATTGTTTTTTTTGGGCTTTAAAACATGTATGCTAGGAGAAGGTTTCACACACCCTCGTAAATGGTGTGTTGTTCTCCTCCCTAACCAATGTGGGACATCACAATTCACCCCCTTCAGGGTCAGCGTCCTCGCTGGCACTTTTTCCTTCCTCCAATCGATGTGAGACTACCGCCACCAAATCCACCCCCTTCGGGGCTCAACTTCCTTACTGGCACACCGCCTCGTGTCTACCCCCCTTCGGGGAACAGCGAGAAGGCTGGCACATCGTCCAATGTCTAGCTCTGATACCATTTGTAACGGCCCAGATCTACCGCTAGCAGATATCGTCCTCTTTGGGTTTTCCCTCTCGGGCTTCCCCTCAAGGCTTTAAAACACGTTTGCTAGGGGAAGGTTTCCACACACCCTTATAAATGGTGGGTTGTTCTCCTCCCCAATTAACGTGGAACATCACAGGGTTCGTGTTGAAGAGATCTACATATTTGTAAAAGAAATCAAGAGTTATCCGAACCTAAAATACAAGAAAAACACTAAGAAAGAACAAGAAGCAAAAATGCAAAATTATGAAAATCGAGGTACTGTTCATGAACCATTCATCGTGCCGTCCATGACACTGATCATATACGAAAAGAATTGACACTTGCCCAATTTGAGTGTTTTTGCTTCGATTTCCGATCTGATTTCAATGGTACTCATCTTTTCTCTTATTTTACGACCTATTTAGGGAGTTCGGAGCAATTTAGAGTCTTTGGCGGCAAAAACTAACTTAAAAAGTGTTGAGTACTTCCGAGTGACACATCAAAACCTCAAGCTATTTTTTTAGTATATATAGAAGCATGTCATAGGAATTTGAGCTTGAACGGAGTTGGTTTGATATACGAAAAAGCATGATAAACTTCACGATTCATGTGTTCTCGAGGAATGAATGAACTGACTATGAACCGAATAAAATTGAAACCATGACTAGATATTCATGTCTAGGTCACTATGTTGTTTCTCAATTGTCTATGTATATGATTTTTTATGCAGTTATACATGGACGATTAAGGGTTCGCCGACTAGCCTTTAATCGTAAATCTTACTCGATCATTGGGGGTCCGGACAACTATATATGACATATTATTTATGATTGTACCCTGTGGGGGATTATTCGGAAGCTTGCCCATTAATTTCCTCTTAGTGAACCTGTCACGAGCGGCAGGGGTCTGTAATAGTACCTCGAGAGTTGACATGAAGTTTATTAATGCACGTGATTACTTATACGAATATACGAGGATGTTAGGTGTTTGCCAACTAGCCTCTAAACGTAAACCTGACTTGATTGTCGAGGGACCGGATAACTTAAACTGACTTATGATTTACGATGGTACTCGGTGGGAATTATTAGAAAAATTTTCAATTAATTTCCTCTTAGTGAACTTGTCACAAGCAACAAGGGTCCACAGTAGTACCTTGAGAGTTGGTTGAACTTTAGAGTGTATGAAGTCGTACCTCGATGACCTACAACAAAGGTCTAGAATTGTGTGGATGATAATGAAATAGATTAACAGGCAATTCAAGAGACTTAGAAAACAAGAGAAATTCCAATGAGTACGTAACCTTGAAAAGCAAGTCATTACAAATGGCCAGAGATTGAAGAGACTGTTTGGCACCATTAAGGGAGCTTTCGGCTAGCACTTAGCAGTAGACATGGAGATATAAGAAGACTAAGAGGTTACTTATGTCGAGTGACAACTCCTCCGTACATATTAGATTCTTCTTGAGCCCGAGATAGATGAGGGCACCCCGACTTACGCGCAGGAAGCACAATGACTAGATGGACCATGGAGAGTATGGAAATGAAAGACTAAATGCACCCATGAGTGACTTACACCGTTGAAATAGAAGTGAGTAGGGTATATAAACTTTAAGAGCTTGAGAGAACTAGAAAAGAATCCGAGCCGTGGAACTGACCAACCCTAGGACCCTGATTGAGCACATAGCTTAAGAATCATTAAATAGGAGAAATTTCGATAAGAGCCTATAGGTTGCTTCTTTAACACTCATTATTGTTATTATTTGTGTTATACATGGATTGTAGACCAATGTTTGACTACAAGGGCGTGCAAAGCCATGCGACTGCAGGGAGAACCCGTAAACCGAGTATGTAACAATTCGCTTCGAGAATAAAAAAAAAAAAAAAAAAAAAAGATAACATTTAATCTCGCCGAAAATCACGTGATTTTACCGAGTCATTTATTTCTTAATAGAAACGTTCCTAATCCCTTCAAGTTTCTCAACGCGCAACCCTCGCAACACAAATTCAATTATTTTTAAGATTATTAAGATTCAAGTTTCTCAACGCGCAACCCTCTCAACACAAATTCAATTATTTTTAAGATTATTAAGAAAGATTTTTAATTGGTTTGGTAAAAAACACTCATAAAATAGGGAATTTTTTTTTAATATATATATATTACAGAAATTAAAATGAAAAAGTACTTCTAATAAACAATTCAGTGCATTCTTGTCAAGCTTACAATCATGACTAATTTTAATACCAAAATTGCCCTTTTATTCTTTTTTTTTAAAAGTAAAGATAATATTGTTTGGATTAGTATGAAACTAAATATAATATATATATATATATATATATATATATATATATATATATATATATTATTTTTTAAAATTATTTGAGATTAAAAACTAATATTATTTTTGAAATAAAATTTAAATCAGTTCAAAAAATATGAAAAAGAAAATAAAAATGTTTGTCTTAATTAAACACAAAACTATACTGTAAGTGAAAAATGAGAATAAAAAATAATAAAGTAGCATGGTTAGATATTCATATCTTTTAATGCAGGCAGCACCTAGAACAACGTATAATAATTTTATTGAAGAATGGTAGCCACATAATTTTTAGTATAAGGACTATATTGTATTATGTAAAGAAATAATAATGTGGTGATTGAATTTATGACAATGGAACAATATTGTTAAATTTTAAAAAATAAACATGTGAAACAAACAAATAATATATATATATATATATATATATATATAGATATATTATATTATATTTCCGACCATTCTAAAACAGCCACCTAATATCCACACAATCAATCACTATCAATTTTAGATTACAAAAAAAAAAAAAAAAAAAAAATCTATAATTTGAAAACTCTAGCAAAAAAAAAAAATGATTTGGATAGAATCATCGATAAGATAACCAACACCAAAAAATGGTGATTCTTCTGCGAATATTTTCACCGAGGCGTATTTGCATTTGACTGCAAGAAAAGCTACTTTTGATATTCAAACAGTATCAAAGACTTTCATTATTGAAGAAAAAACACCTCTAACACTATATATACATAGACTTAAAACCGAATCCCTAATTTAGAAACCCTAATCGGGCCATATAAAGCATCCAACTAAAGAATTGAGTTGCTGTCACGAAGATTGTGCAAATTTAATGATTCAATAGCCCAACACCAAAAAATGATTTCACTTTCGACCAATTTTCGAGCGGTATTCCATCGAAACGAAATTTACAAATGTACACATTTTTAGGATTGAAACAAAAGTTGAATAAGTAGATCAAAACATCCTCCCAAGTTCAAAGCCCAAAATGGGTCAAATGTCAGACAAAAGGGGGAACGAAAAACATATATTTTCTATCAGAAACTTGACTAATACTACAAAATGCTTTAGAAATTGAATTTAATTAAAAGAAGAAAAAAAAAACTGTTAATAAAGTATTGAATTCCAACAGACATAAGGCAAGAACAAAGAAGTCAACGAATAACCAGAAAACATGTGATAAGAAGACAACTATATTTGAACTCAACCCAGAGCTTCTATAGAATGGGTTCGGATGATTTGTATGATTATATCCTTAGAGGGCGTGGTGTTTTCTTTCATGTCTGATCTGACCAGCTACAAATAAAAATAACTTCCATAACAAAGGTACGGGTCGAGATTTAGATCTTCGAGGAAATGAGAAGTACATATATCTATGGGTCGAGCTATCGAATCAAAAGTTTTCTAAGCTACGACTTGGTTCAAATCGTCACCTACATCTTTTTTCTCTGTTGTCCAATGGGAGAGATTCTTTTTAACTCCCTCAAATCAATAGCACTAGAGAATCAAGATCTATCATATTGGAAGATTTTGGCAGGTGAGGGGAGGCATTAAATAACAAAATCACGCACGGTTACAAGTAGGATTATTGTGGAACAAATGATAAATACTACATGAGGGGGGATTTTTTTTTATAAAGAAAAGAAAACTACAACACTCTAGTCTACTATCAGATCCGGCTATTAGCAATCCAAAAGGCAAAAATGAAAGGGATGTCTTACTTTTAATAGCATTTTCGCCCTTGGCAATTATATATAGACTACCAGATTTTCCCAAGAAATAGAGCTAATAAAGTAAATAAACTTATGGCTATTATGGTACCAAAAAGTAGGACCTGTGATTCCAATTTTACGCTGTTTTATCTTCTTCTAGATCACCAACTGGATTGTCGCTTCCACGCAACGGTTTAACATCTGGTACAGTCCGAACATCCTTTGAAGGTGAGGAGATTGGAGATGGTCTTATGAGTGTTAGATTTGTGTCATCCTTGTCGAACTCTTCGTGTGCGTCTTCAGAGTATGCATACCTGAGAAACATAGAGGATGAGATGATATAGACTGGTAGAGAGGGGCGGGTAGAGAAACTGTGTGTCGAAATTTACCGCATTGAGTTTTGAGAGGGAGCCCAGAGAGCACAGATGACACACAGTAGAGAAAATGATAAGATTTGCCAGAAGGCAGGAATAATCCATGCATTTTGCCACTGCTCATTGTAAATGTCATTTGATTTGAAGTAAAGCTGCAAGAATACATTTAAGAAAATGCAGTCAGCATGTTTGGGACGAAGTTACGAAAAACGACAGTGACTGTTCACATGAACCTGCTGCAGTTGCAAGTAAGTTTCCATTTCTTTAAAAAAACTATGCATGAATGGCCCATATCAAACGTGTTTTTAACATGATAGGAACACGTCTTCGTGTGCAAATTACCTCATAACACATCCAGCCCACCGATACAATAACAGTTACCGCCAATGCGTTTGTGAATTTTCTGTAAATGTCCAATTTAGTCGTCAACCTTCTAGCCTGTGATATCGATAACAATGGAGGAAAAAGCCAGGTAGTAGAAGTTATAACACAATAAATGAAAAAGAAATTTACATCATTAGCATAAAATGAGAAGGTAAAAGATAATATTAGACTTGGGCAGGAATATCGGCAAGAGCAAGCATAATTTTTGCAGAAAATTGCAGCAAATGATATCACTTCCACTGAATCTATGTTTCAATTAGAAGCTCAACGTCTAACGCCGTGCTTTCCTTGATACCAACCTACTTCATCGAACTATATTTCGATTAAAACCAGATTAATTTCTCAGTATTCTTCAGAAAACCATTTGCCAGGAGGAACTTAATCTTAAAATATTTAAACTACAAAAAAAAAAAAAAAAAAAAAAAAAAAAAAACAGGAGTACAAATAAAAAATAAGTGCTACGAACAAACCGGCTACCTGAAGCTTGCTTAACGTTGCGGAGAGGGAGGTAAATATCCAAAGAATGAAGAAAGCATCCAAGATTGCCACGGGTAGAACCAAGAAAAGTCTTGCTTTTCCTGAAAGATCACTTACAGCACCCACATTCTCAACCAATTCAAGAACTTCAGATGCCAGAAAGAAGGTTAATCCAAGCATGAGAACTTTTGATGTCAGTCCACCCAGAGTTGGTCTAACAACACCATAACCCATCGAAACCATCAAAAGTATCAGACGTGCAATTGTACGCTTAACAACTCCAAAGGTGACAGCCCACATAGTTATCCCTGTTGGTCTTATCCCAGTTTGGTTGAATTCAGCAAACTCAAAATACCACATAGCCATCTCAAACATCCCCAACGTTATAACAACCGTAATGCAGTTCTGCAATGGAAAAACTTCTTTCCAGAATCTTGCATACTGTGAGAACCAAAAGATTCCAAGCAACACATAAGCAAAAGACATATACAAATAAAACTTCATCAAAGGCGCCATTCTACCCGGTAGGTATCCAGAAGGATTTTTCCATATAGTTTTCCCCTCGACAACCACATTTTGAAGCTTTGGATCACAATGGATGAAATACAAGTTATACATCCCCGTTTTAGTAATCTGAATCGATTTTGTCGCCAGGGTTGCAACTTGCTCATCTTTGTTGAAAGAGACTCCATAAACTTGAGGCCAACCAGAATTCTTCGAGGACGGCCTGTAAATAACTTCACCTTCTGAACAAACACCAAGTTTAGCAAGATCTACAGTACAACAGATTGCCCTTTGGCCACCATAGGCTGAGCCACCAACCATCTCTCTATCTTCCACCTCAAAAACTATTGCATGCAATGGCCCAGAGCTGAAGTTGGAGAACTCCTCTGGTCTCCGAAATGTAATTTTTTCGAAGCTGGTTTGACAGTACACTATAGAATAAGGTAACTATCACAACAAAGACAGAATAAGAGATATACTGACTCCACAGAAGTTAAACCTAGATAGATAAATCCTAACATTCAAACAAGCTATCGAGACTTCCCCAAAATTCTAGCTAACAGTAAGCCCAAAGCGAATTGATAGCAAGCAAGCAACATTAACACGCTTTCGTTAATGACACATAACAAAATTCATACGAAAATGGAAACCAAAATCACATAAAATTGCAAAACAATCCAGCCTAATCTCGAATTAACTCATCGTTTCCGCCATTCATTGAAACAGAACCGACAAACAACGAACACATCGACAACCACATAAACGGATCAGAAAACACATACCGAATGTAGGAATCAGCATTGGTAGAAGAATCCGCATCGGCACCGTTCCGGTCAGCGTTAGAGGAGCGAATTCCCTCGCTACCTCCATGGACGACAAACGCATTGCCTTTGTTAACGAATATCTCACCAGAATAGTGGTGGACTGAGGCGTGAATGCACAGGGACCAAGCACATAGTAGCAGAGTGAAGGAAAACAGTACCCGTTTAGAAGAAATGCAAGACAAAGACATGGATTACACAGCCGGAGCTTCCAAGAGAAAGAAGATTCAGAGCAGCAAAAGCTTGGATCTGCAGAATTCTTGCTTGCTTTGCTTGACCGCCAGAGAGCGAGAGAGAGAGAGAGAGAGAGCGCGAGATCTGTGACTGAGTGTGAGCTTCGACGCGAATTAAATTAAAATTCGATAAATGGAGTTCGAGCTAAACTAAAAAGAAATTATGTAATTTTGTTTTTTTTTTATTCGGAGGGACACGTGTGGGTTTTTGGACGGCTTGATTTATTTGGGTCTTTGCCTTTTGAGCCGTTGGATTTATTCCGCTTCACTGTCGGTGTATGGCTATAAATAACAATAGATTGAGAATTTGGGCTCATTAAATTAAAAAGCTCCTTTTACTTTCCTGAGGAATAATTTTTTTTCTTTTATTTTAATAAAATGTAAATTAGTAAATTTTGAGACTTTAATGTAATATTTAAACTAAATATTATGTCGGTATATTTTTTTAACCATTATGTTATAATATTAAATTTTGAATTTTTAAAAATTATATTATATATATGTGCATATGAAATTTATTAATTTATTGAGATTTTTTTTATATATAAAAATTATATTGAAAAATACAAATTTTTATCATAATTATTTTTTTTAAGAATAATAAACCGAAAAAAAAAAATTATGCATGAAGAGCTGATATCTACAATTTCTCCAATTTCCCGCGAGAAATTTCCACAAAAATAAATAGAGATTTTATGGGATGAGAAATGAAATAGGTGGAGGTGGTGGGGAGGCGAACATTTCTTTAGAAGGGTGTAGACACTTCTCCTAAACATACGTTTTTTTAAAACCGTGAGACTGACGACAATACATAACGAGTTAAAATAGACAATATCTACTGGCAGTGAACTTGAGCTGTTACATTTGGTATCAAAGCTGAACACTGGGCGGCCTACCAGCGAAGACACTGTACCTTCTAAAGGGTGGATTATGAGATCCTATGTGGAGACGAGGATGAAAAACATTTTTTATAAGGGTGTGAAAGCTTCTCTCTAACATGCCCGTTTTAAAATCGTGAGGCTGATGGTGATACGTAACGGACTAAAACGAACAATATCTATTAGCGGTGGACTTGAGCTGTTACAGTGCTCCAAGATATTAGAAAATCTAGATTTCCGTGATTAACCCCTCCGCAGACTAGAAATCCAATGCCATTCTCACCGTACAGGAAAAAGTATTCAACAAAAACCTCAAGAGAGTGAAAATTCAATGCCAACCCCCACAAATCGTGCTCGTGCTCCTCTCAAGGTCTAGCTCCGAGAGACATCAAAGATTGTTCTTATTAAAAGCTCGCTCAAAGGTTCAAACACACGACGTCCAAGTACATGTACCGACCCAAAAGCACAATAAAAAGGAAGCCTCCATAACTCAAGAACCCGGGTCGGGGTTGGATTAAGAGGAAACGTTTTTTATTTATCGAATAAAACATTACACGAGAAATCGAAGGTCGACAATATAATGTTTAGATACTATGGCCACAAAAATAGGCTCTCAATTGTTCATAAAAAACCAACATATGATCAAATTAACTTACTGGGCAATGAGCGAGCAGCTGTTGAACTTGAAGAACTTGCAAACAAGAAAGCTAACAAATCCAAGATTATGAACACAGCTATTAGTCCAGATCAAGGAACTCAAGTCTTTTCCTGATTGTCCCTTTAAGATCTGTAGCCTCTCTCTCTGCTTTTTGAGCCTGCAATAACAGTTTCTCGTTTGTAAATACCAAAAAGTTTTACATGCAACGGGTAAGCAAAAAGGGTTCGGCGTGGCATGAGCATGCGGCTACGGGCAACATGTTCTGGATGAGCATGACCGTGACACTATGCACACAGAACACTAATCTTTAGACATCAGCAAAAAGGGATTGGCGTGGCATGGGCATGTGGCCACGGGCAACACACCCTGGATGAGCATGACCGTGACACTATGTACTACCACGGGCAACACGCCCTGGAATGACCATGACACTATGCACATAGAACACTAATCTTCAGACATAAGCCAAAAGGGTTCGGTGTGGCATGGACATGCGGCCATGGGTAACACGCCCTGGATGAGCATGACCGTGACACTATACACACAGAACACTAATCTTCAGACATAAGCAAAAAGGGTTCGGTGTGGCATGGGCATACGGGCCACGGGCAACATGCCTTGGATGAGCATGACCGTGACACTATGCACACAGAACACTAATTTCAGACATAAGCAAAAAAGGTTCAGTGTGGCATGGGCATGCGGCCACGGGCAACACGCCCTGGATGAGCATGAGCGTGACACTGTGCACATAGAACACTAATCTTCAGACATAAGCAAAAAGGGTTTGGCGTGGCAAGGGCATGCGGCCACAGGAAACATGCCCTGGATGGGCATGACCGTGACACTATGCACACAGAACACTAATCTTTAGACATAAGCAAAAAGGGTTTGGCATGGCATGGGCATGCGGCCACGGGCAACACACTCTGGATAAGCATGACTATGACACTATGCACACAAAACACTAATCTTCAGACATAAGCAAAAAAGGTTTGGCGTAGCATGGGCATGCGGCCACAGACAACACGCCCTGGACAAGCATGACCATGACACTAAGCACACCGAACACTAATCTTCAGACATAAGCAAAAAGGGTTTGGCGTGGCATGGGACACTAATCTTTAGACATAAGCAAAAAGGGTTCGGCGTGGCATGGGCATACAGCCACGGGCAACACACCTTGGATGAGCATAACCGTGATACTAAGCGCACCAAACACTAATCTTCAGACATAAGCAAATCTATGTCGTGTTCTTCCAATAAATGTGGAAACATTTAAGAAATCCAATGGGCGAGTCAACATCACTTACCCTTTTAATCTCCACAGCAGAGACATGAGTCATGTGTGGAGGGAGCTCCTCTTTCTCCATGTTCTATAAAGCCCAAAACAAAAATTTTAAGAGGGTTGGACAGCTAACAGACAAATAACGAAGACAAACAAGTGAATCTCTAAGATTTTGTCCTACCAGCTCGCCCAGTAAAACGACGTTTTCGCCTCGAATTACATAGAGACCTAAAGGAATATCGCTGTAAAGATCACCAACAATCACTCTTTCACATGATCCTTCAAGAACAGCATTTGCTGAAACATAGAAACAATTAGTTCTCCACGCGAATGTTAAAACCGTATAAAATTTCAGGAAGAACTATACCAAATTGATCGAATGACCGGAGGATTCCTAATAGCTTTCGACCATCTCGAAGTAGTACAAGAACCTTCTCTATAGAACGAAACGATCATTAGAACCGCAATTCTAGCAAATAGCAACACTAGCTTTTTAATCCTTCTCTAAACAATTTAAAGAATGCAGACATGCTGAACAATGATTTAGAAGGTAGCTGTGAAACAGCCTTTTAGCATTTGGCACAGGGAAGACCAGTGCTCATGTCAAATCAAAGTTGAAACAAAGGGTTTCAAGGCAGAGCTATATAATTGCTTATGGGGATAGGTGAGTGAAGAGAGTGTAAGATCCCACATCGATTGGAGAGGGGAACGAGTGCCAACGAGGACACTAGACTGTAAGGGAGGTGAGATTGTGAGATCCCACATTCATTGGAGAGGGGAACGAGTGCCAGCGAGGACACTGGGCTCCGAAGGGGGTGGATTGTGAGATCCCACGTTGGTTGGAGAAGGGAATGAGTGCCAAAGAAGACACTAGGCCACGAAGGGGGTGGGTTGTAGATCCCACATCTGTTGGAGAGAGGAACGAAACATTCTTTATAAGGGTGTGGAAACCTCTCCCGAGTAGACACGTTTTAAAAACCTTGAAGGGAAGCCTAAAAAGAAAAGTCCAAAAAAGACAATATCTACTAGCGGTGGGTTTGGACTGTTACGCTGAGTCTTTCACCCGGAGACTCACCATGGCAAGCTCTTCAAAAAGGTGGGTAAAATTTCACAGAGGTTCGATAATCTCTTGAAAAGAAAAGGGAATCAAAGGCATTCACCAAACAAAACACAAATGTTTGCTAAAACCACTACAACAAAGTGCATTTGATTCAAATATCTTCATTTACATTACTAAACAGTTAGCCAGAAAGGATAAATGGATGCTCATTCATGTGTCTAAATAGGCTTCATTGGGTGAAAGGTTTTTGAATGAAAGAGCTGCAATACATAACAATTTGATACTCTCAAACCCCATGATGATCAAGAGATAGATATCACATTACACAAAAGAGGCAAAACCCATGAAGCAAGTGATATCAAATTTCAAAACTAAAAAGGAAAATGAGTATTAATTTGTATGAATCAAAAGAGAAGCAACATACTGTCAAGGTAATTGGCAAGAGAAGTTGAAAGGTAAATATCTTCCGCGCTTGCCCAAGACATCGACGACGTTTAACACTTATCTCCAAACCAAATAAATGGGCATTGCCTGCTTAGATTCCTATCCAATTCTCAACCAATCGCTCAAAATCCCTTTCACAATTTCCTCAAATAATCTGTCTTCACCATCCACAAATCCTTCGAAACTAAGAACAAACGATTCGAAACGAATCGAAAAGGGGAAAGAAAGGCAAGGGTTCAATTTCTACGAAGAGAGCGAAGATGAAATTGGGGGAACAAAAGGGCTTCGTGAGAGACAGACTTAAACGTGGCGGAAGCCCGGAAGAGATTCAACTCCGGCTGCAGTGTTGGTCTGGATTTGGTTTGGTACTTCATCTTATGCTCCTTCGGATATGTAGGGCTTTATTATTTAATAATTAATTTTCAAGGCAAATTGGATTGAGAAATTATGATATAATTTTTAGTGTAAGATTATGGGGTTAGAAAATTGGTTTCCATTTAGATTTTTATGACTTATAAATCTAAGTTATTTTTGTGAAAAAATGCAACGGAAAGCTTCACTCCCGAACATGTCCCTCCTCTTTCACGATAAACAAAGCAGCTTCTCTCTTCTTTTGTATAGTTGAGTCAATTAAATCCTCTTCTCGTCGCATTGCTTACTTCGCTCCTTCACCTTTTTATGAATAGGACGAAAAGAGAAATTCAAGCCAAAACGAGTACAACTCCGAAACTTTACGTGAGAGTAAATTAATGAAGTTCTTCTTTTTAAAGTTGAGCTGTTTCATAGTGTCTAGAATCAAACTTAACTGCTCAATCACCTAGTTATTCTCGAACGGTAAACTCTTGATCTGATCTCGTATGAGATTTGTCACCATAAACATAACTTAATGTTAATATTATCGACCAAGAGATCGCAAAAATTGGGGGAAAAGATGGGAGGAAAACGGAGCCCAACAACAATGTCTTGGTAACTTTAGAACAATACAAAATGTTATTTGCCTCAAATATGTTACAAAGAGAGACCCCAACATTAAAGAAGGAGAAGAATTATATGGTAAAATAAAGTGAAAAATGTAAAGCTCTGTCATCATAGAATCTCTTTTGACGATGTATCATAACATGAGTTGCACTGTTTTCGTAACATACAACCATGAAAAAAAAGGAGTAATCAGCACCGTCGATCAGATCTATATTTTTGCTGTGACGAACAACATCTCAACTGTTGGATCCATATCATCAAATCAAAGGGTGGAGTTTGAATATCTGGAAAAGTCATTTTTGGAGATGGAATTTGAAGATCAGTCATTGCCATGTTAAAATGAACCATACTGAAAAAGTGAGATCAGAAAAGGTGTTACCTTGTTCAAATCAGTTGGATGGGGAATTGGTTAGAAAAGGAGATGGAATTATATCTCAAGAACAATATCTGCAATTTGCAAAACAAGAACTTTGTTAGAGAAAGCTAAAATTTTGTGATGTTTTTAGGATGGATTTATGAACAAGCTATGAACTTACACTCGGAATCAGTTTTGACCCATTTGGATCCATCTTTAGCATTTTTATGCTCTTCTTCTTCTGCTTCATTTCTGTTTTTTGGTGACTGTTTTTCCTCTATGTACCTCTTCAACGACGACGAAGATCGAGAAGCGTTTTGTGGGGCGATCTTCTTTTGGAGAATTGTTCTTAAGAGCTGCCATTGAAATGGAAAGATCATTAGATTCAAAAGCTGAAATTATGCAGCAAAAATCAGAGTTGAAGAAGCTGTTTTTTAGTTTGTTTTGTCATTACCTTTTCCATTCTTGACTCTTGTAGAGTCTCTCTCAAACTTGGTGGTGGTATAGGAGTGAAGCCATTTCTACAAACAAACAACTTTTTGAGCAGAAACGACACGGATTTCTTCCCGATCGCTTTCTTTTTACTATCGGCGCAAATGTCCTTACATTTGCCAATTATAAGACTAATGGTCCTTTCAATATCTTCATCTTTATCATCAGAATCACAGCTGAGGGGATTGCTGATTCTCCTGTCGACCTCCAAGCTTGAAGGGCAGTTGAGAAATCTATCCAATGGAAGATCTGCAACCTGCTTTTCGGGATTCGGTTTGCGAGATAAAAGCTTTGTCAACTCCTTCTGTAATTTACCAACTTCTTCAGGAGAGAAATCTATTATTTCTTCTGAAGAAGATGGATCCTCCTGTATGTCTTGTCTTCTCTCAGAATCATCTTTGATCTCATTGTTGCCAAAAGTTCCAATTGCAAGCAACCCATGAGGCCAATCGCTGAACTCTTCACGAGACTCCTGTTTTTTAAGCTCTGCAAATAGGGAGATGGAAAATCTTCAATTTATATTGAAGAAAGTATTCCTGTAATTTACAATACTTCACCATTTCAAAGATCCAGAAGAGAGAGAGAGAATAATTTCATGGTCCTATAAAGTAAGAATATATATATATATATTTTGAGTCCTGGGATCTGATTAGTGGTTGGTTTGCAGTCCTAAACTAAAGCTAATGAAAGTGGACAAAAAAGGAAATGTAAAACAATGGTAAATTTTGTACATTAAATATTTGTTTAAGGGTCAAGGGAACAAGGCACATGAACCCAAGTATTGAGGTTAGTGATTCAGGCTACCTTTTGAATCGTGTCCTCGTTTGCATTGGGATCTTGATCCAGCTAACTAAACTTCGGATCCAACCAAAAACCATTTCACTAAATCTATTTTCCACTGTTGTTCCTTCTCCAAGTTGATATCTTAAAACAATTAAACCATACAATCTCAACTTGAACGCGAAACAAGATTTAAGAACACATCTATATATACACACATCATTCATGCAAATGAACACTCTACATGCCAGTTTGAAAACAGAGAAAAAGAAGTTCATAGCATAGAGGAAAAAGTGGAGCAAAAAAGAGAAGAAAAAGCTTACGAGAAGTAGAGAATGTATTTGGGATTTTCTTCTCGTGTCTGCCATTTAGTTTAGTTTGCATCCAGCTGAAGAACTGCATTGAAGAAATGGAGAGAAAAAAAACAAATCAAGCTTCCATCAAACTACATTACAGAACATGAAGTGTAAATTTTGAGCTAAAAATTAAGCTCACCTTCATCTTCAACTAACGATACAATTTGAAGCTGTTTAGAAAAATTGGAGAGCGGTGAAGAAGATTATGGGGTGTTATGTACAAAACAGAGAAGTTCAGAACCAGATCTTTAAAAGCCAATGGCGAGTATTGGGATGATCAAAACAAGTGAAGAGTTTTGACAAATTTGATGCTGAAGCTTTCTCAATCACAGCAAGTTATAATGGTTCAAGTTCCCAAACAGTGGCCTCTCAGTTCTCACTCTAAACTCTCCTTCTCCTTCTCCTCCTGAAAGATGTTGCTGGATTCTTCCTCTTATACACCTCCAAATGCACATACACCACTAGCATGAAAAACATTCTCTATAAAATTGAATAATTTAATTCCTGTAATTTAATAAGACTACAAAAGGAGGATTCTGCGGGTTCAATTCTGGAACATCCTCTATACAACCGACCGTGTCAAAATCTTGTCCGTCAGATCTTGAGATGCAAATCTACGACAACTGCTAAATAGAAAAGGTGGAGTTGATCCCCATACATCTTTAATCTAATGGTAATTAGAATTACACGGCATTCACTGTTCACAGCGAGAGTTTTTACTGTACAGTGTAGTCAATTTAAAACATTACTCCTTTCCAGATATGCTTTTACCATTCGATATAATTTCGTCACATCATACGACATTGATACAGGAATAAAAACGCATGCATGCAAGTATATCAATATAAAATCAATGCTCGATAATTTTAATGAGTTGCAGATAGCAAAACAATATAGATCAATACTTTGATCTAATTAATAATTTTATTTAGGTGTATAAACTTATAATTCATATCTACATTATGATATACGGGATCAAATTTTTTAGAAAACTCTCCAACACTTCTAGTTGGATAATGCCAAAAAGCTAACCCAATTCAAAGGAGAATATGTACAATTTTACAATAATTTTTTTAAGAAAACCACGTCTCGGGAGTCGGGGCCCTACCACCATTTATCCACCGACACCTATGTCCACGCCAAGCCCAAATCATAATAATAATTACTATTATTATCATGTAAATAGATAAGACATAACTATCCTTTCATAAATGGATGGTTTAACCTCAATTTTGCAGGATTGAATTAAATACAATACGTAAATATACTAATAATCATGTAAATATACCAATAATCATGCAACTCCCAACCTAGCTTCCAGTGATTTATACTTTCACCAAGACCTATCGAATTAAAATGAAATAAAGAAAAAGAAAAGAATACTGTGGATTAAAATCTAAAATTATTAAGCCAACTCACTTTAAAATGGGAATAAATAATATATCTTTTTAAAAACAAAATAAATATTATACTCTTAAACTTCGAAAAATCTAAACTATTAGACAATCTTTAAACTCACTCAAAAGATAAGATTTTGCATGTCAATAGATATGGTAGACGTGGCACCGATATAGTTCACGACTTTATCCTTTCAATAATTCCTTCTATTTCAAACCAGATAGAATAATTGAAAACTTTAAAACTTTAAACAAATTTTATAAACAGACTATTAAATTTTTTTAAAAATCAAATCACAAAACAATTTAAAAAAATAAAAATAAAAGAACACCCAAATAATTCCTAAAATAGATTGAAAATTAAGGATTCATAATAAAATTAGATAAACCAGAAAAAAGTACAATTTGTATCTCGTTTTTACCTTCTTGATTTGAGTCTTGATATGCCACAGTAAAAGTCTAACAAGATCTATTAGAAATTCAAATCCTGTCTTCTAATTACGTTTATCTATTAAAAAAAAAGTGGGTAATTTATAAAAAAAACTCATAGTTGGAATTTGAAAACTTGTACCGAGAAATTAATAATATTACATTGTCGACCATTTTTCTAAGAAATCATAAATACCCCATTCTGATGGCTCATGGAGAAACAATTATAGCAAATTTTCTGAACTGGAAAAAATTGAAGACTTCCTCATATGGAAACAGCCAAAAATTTCGAGCCAAGGAAATTCCTCGAACTAGGGTTCATCTCGAAGTTTGCATCTTCGAAATTCATTATATTTGGATCTTCTATTTGTATTTTTATTTTGCTTTCTTATAGTTTTAATATTCTTTTTTAGTGGCTTAAAAGAATTATGTATCTTTACTATATTTTATTCATTAATCATTTTAATAAAAGATATCCATATCAAATTTCTATTATTATTCATTGAAAAATTAAGGACACTACAGAAGCCATAAAGCTTCTTCTTATAAGTGCATAAACACAAGGCACAAGCCATAGGCTAAGGGCTTCTAATAAGAAAGAAAAGGAAAAGGCTTCGGAGCTGAAAGCTTCGGCCTAGTTCAGCTTTAAGAAACATGATATCCTTTTAGGAACATGCTTACTAAATAAAGCACCATTACATGGAGGAACACACGGCTCCTGGAGTTGCTCCTTAAGTTATTGTTTTACCAAATTCACAAATTTTTCAACGGTTACCCCAAACCAATTACTTATGAATCCTAATCCAAAAAGACCCTATGAAAGGAACTCTTTATAGATTTTCGCAACATAATAAATAATGTAAGAACTCCTATCCTCATAAATAGAATGTGGGTTCTCCTTTCTCGATCTATTCCCATTATTTTCCATAAACAATCCTAATACACTATTTATGTCATGTGAACCGTAATTGTCCACGCCCATATTGGAGTGATTGATTGTATCTTCTAAACTTCTATTGTATATAACAAGTTACACAATAAGATCAAATTCTTATACATTCAACATCAATCATTTTTTTAATATATTCACTAGCATGCATCTACCTTCACTATTCCACAAATATCTGTCTCTATTATATTTGATTGCCAAAATAACTAAAAAAATATCTTATATCCCAAGTAGGCAGTCATATTATGGTCCAAACTTATTCCCTTTTAAGTCTTTTATTATTCACATAATTTTTGTAGCCTACAACGTTAACTCATGATGGTTCAATCTATTGTAATATATCAAATTCATTGTACATTTTAATAGTGAAAATTAAAAGTATGCACAACTAGGGATGACAACAAAAACCCACGGGCCCACCTCAAATGGGGTAAGGGATCTCTGATTTGAATGGGTATGGAAGTCAAACTGGGATTTCTTTTCAAGTCCGAATCGGAGACGGAAAAGGTGTCCTTGCCCCATCCATGACACCGGACCCGCCCCAAGCCTCTTCTACTTCACAATGTCCAAGAGTTATGAAAGAGAATTTATTTAGGCTACTACTACTTTTGAGTGACTAGCTCTTTTGCACCATGGCGCCTATATGGCATGACTAGACATGATTATTCTAGTGCCAATATTCATGCATTTTTCTCTTACCCTTCAACTTCAATTTGAATCAAGTCTTTTTATTGATTAAGTTTCAACATCTTAATATAAATTACCTAGAGAAATGTGATATTTGGTTTGAATTATAGGACTCATGATGCACAACGCATGCACATCAATCAATATTGGAGACCTTTTAGTTTCTGACCCTCCGTTTTAGGCTTAGGGACTCCACATCTCTAAGGCTTTTAGGCAAAGATCTTCCTCTTTCCATGTAAAAATATATATAGGAATCATACCATAGGAATGCAACTAAAGTCCCTAGATAAAAGGAAGATCAAAGATATATAGATGTCATCAAAGATATATAGATAAGAGAAGACAGCATCTAAATCTTTTACATAAAATTAAAACTATGAGAGCTTATATTTAAAGTGAACATTATCGTATCGCTATATAATTATAGACATGTAAAATATCTATTATTTCTAACACCATATCACAATTCACCTTTAAACGACCCAAAAATTGATCCAGTTACTTCTGACACTATTATGCTCAAATTTCTGACCATATCCAGGCACTCGTACTATCAATCTTAATTGCAAGCTTTTGGTGGCAGGTCACATATAAATCTAATGACTTCAATATTTTAGCACAGCGCTAGAAATTATTCCAAATTAGAGAATGGGGTGAGATAAAATCACCCCAGTAAGTGGCCCCCCTTTGAAACTTTTTGGCCACGTATCACGACAAAGTTAATCACATAATGAATAATCCAACCGGGTGGGTTGAAATATTGAAGCTTTATTCCTTCCTCGGAGCTTTTGCTCCTTAAAAGAGGCCACAAACCAAGCCATCTCTCCACGTTCTTTTCAATAGAATAAGAAAGTAATACTAACCCCTTTGAATTCCAACCACAAGTTTTTCCTCTTAACATCATAGATTATTACCGTTGTCAATACCAATAATATCTTCCACTAAGGAAGAGGCTTAAAAAAATTATTCACACTATTGCTTAGTGTTTAGATACTTGGTTTAAATGGTTCTGTCGTGTCGCCATCAGGATGCAGAACACGAATACCCTCAACAAATAAAAGGCTTTGTATTTCGTACTGATTTTAAAATTAAATTTAAAAGAAAAAAAAAAAAGAAAAGAAAAAAAGACTTTAAGTCTTTAATGAACCACTGTAAACAGCTAAATAATCATCAATAATCTGTTGAAAATTCGAATCCTTATGTTGTAATGCTGTGTATGTCAACTTTAATTTATAAATGTACTACCACATAGTAAAGTTAATATATTAAAAAGGTTTCAAAATAGTGAAGGGGAAGCAAAACACAGCAAAGATAATTGAGATGACGAACTCCGTGACCAAACTGGTAAAAAAAATATCCGAAGCTTAAATATCTTTACATCATAATCGTCACTAGGTTCGTCATTTTAGTCTCATTCCTCAAAAGTTCCTCGAGATGCAGGGAAAAGGAAGAGAGGAAAAGAAAATCATGAAAGTGGAATAAAATATGAAGGGCGAAGAGTCAGAATAGAATCACTCCAACCAAGACAGCTTATTTTAAAAGAAAGATAAGAAACCATGTGAGGTGTGCATCTAGTAGATGTCTAGGGTTTACAAACCAAAACTAAAAAGAGAAATGATATGCTATGTTACTCAATTCTGGAAGGCAAATATTGCGGTTGGCAAGCATAAACTAAGACTTGGTATTGCGTGGACTTGTATCATCCGATGGTTTCGTTTGACTAGCTCGCTTTTCATTATATCTTCTTTTAATCAAATGGAAACTTCTAGCTATAATATCCACAAATACCTCAAGTATCCGGCAAGAGGCATAATAGAGTACATATCTCGACTCTGACCGTATGAATTATGAATGTATTATCTCATGAGCAGAGAATTGATTATTTGGAGAAAATTATTCAATAAAGCTACCACATTGTGCTGTTCTCCCTTTTTAAACCCTTAGAAACATGATCAACTTATGATCATTATTATTTTAATTTTCTCCTACATCCAAGGGTATAAAACCGTAAATCACATAATACCAGGCTACCAAAATAATTTATCCGGTTTTTGGTTGTGTACAAGGTCCTTGTATGTTTCTATATCATTCCTTGATAGGATTGACAATTTGTGATTTGGATTCTAGTTATGATCATCTTGAGGAAAGAGGTGATAGTAATGGCTAAAGGAACTAAATATTTTTTATGAGTCTCTATCAACTCCGACGACCAAAATAAAACTTTTTTAGTTTAACATGTGAAGTATGAATTCGAACCTTTAACTCTTAACTCTTAAGATCAAGAGTGTCTCACAAACTCTAAACTATAACTATGAGCTCAAATTCACATCAAAACAAGAATATTTGATGGAGGTTGAAATGTTAAAATGATTAGTACAAGAAATTGACGCCAGGTCATAGAAGAAGAGAAGAAACCGCCAGCGAAAAAAGATGTTCCAAGCATTAACATGATGGAGATTAATTATAAAAAATCCCGGGAGAAAAGTTAGTTGAAACCTAAATCCTATCAAATCAAACTGAAGCCCACGGGTTCAAAAAATTCTCGCTTCAATGCCCGTAATGCAAGGCAGCATACACCGCCAATTGAAAATAGGATTCTTGCGCCATGTGGTCCAGAAAACCAGAATCCAAGCATACATTCAAGGTGACACTGTGGTTCAAAAGTTTATACTTGCATCAATTTGAGATCTGGTACTAGGAGGGTACGTGGTGAGTTGAAAATTTTTTTGGGCTAATTCAAAATTTTGAATTAATCAAGTTCGCTATCCAAATGAACCGAAATAGGTTCACATTCCAATTCAACCTAACTCAACCCTCCATTTTTTTCTAAGTAAAATTAGGTTGGATCACCAACGAACGTTAGGGTTGCAACCAAGCATGGGCGTCAGCATTCAACATGAGCGACGGTGGCAAGAGTGAGAGTTTTGAGGAAGGGAAAGCGTCGAAGGGTGTGTGGGTTGACCATTAACATCTATGACTGATTGTTACCGTGGCTACCGCCTGCTGGTTGTGTGGCATGGCTGTGTGGGTCGATTGTCGGCATCTAAGAGTGGGAAGGAGAGAGGGAGGGACACGACACGAGCCAACATGGGTGACTAGGTGTGGTGTTAGGGTTATAACTACGCACGTTGTAACATTTTAGTTTTATATATTTACTTTTTAAAATTAAGGAATCCAGCTCCGTTTGGTTGAACCAAACAAAGAAAAACTCAACCCACAAACCAAACCCAACCGAACCAAATTTTGGCTTAGTAAAATATCAACCCAACCCAAATTGAAAAAATTTTCTAACCCAACCCAAGCAGAAAAAATATATAACCTAACCTTTACCATTTGGGTTGATGGTCCACCACATTATTTGGGCTATTGAATTATTTGTACACCCTCTATATGGGATATTAGATTATTTGTACACCCCTATCCGTGATTTCAACCTTTTAACTATCCTAATATAGAAGTGCTAGAAATTCTAGCCATAATGAAAAAGAAGGGAAAAATTACAAAAAGATAATGTAAATGTTTAACGGATGGATTGTAATATCCCACATTAGTTGGGGAGGAGAACGAAATACCCTTTATAAGAGTGTGGAAACCTTTTCCTAGCAGACGCGTTTTAAAGCCTTGAGGGGAAGCCTGACAGAGAAAGCCCAAAAATGACAATATCTGCTAGCGGTGGACTTGGGCTGTTACAAATGGGATAGAGCTAGACACCGGACTATGTGCCATTAAGGACGCTGGACCCCAAAGGGGGTGGATTTGGTGGGGGTCCCACATCGATTAGAGAAAGGAACGAGTGCCAGTGAAGACGCTAGGCCTTGAAGGGGGGTGAATTGTGATGTCCCATTTTAGTTGAGGAGGAGAAAAAAGGTGTGGAAATCTTTCCCTAGCATACGCATTTTAAAGCCTTGAGGGGAAGCCTGAAAGGAAAAGCTAAAAAAGGACAATATCGGCTAGCGGTGGGCTTGGGCTGTTACAAGGATATCATCTAAGATATTAAATCTCCGACCATAAACATGCTATAGGATCAAATTAATTGTTTTATGGGATACTCGCAATCTATAAAGCTAACCTAAATATCCAAAATTATATATACGTAAATCTGAAAGTGTAGCAGTCATGGGTTACAAAACTACAATCTCACTTTCCTACATGAATCCGCTAACAAGTAAAACCAATCAATCTTCAGTCTTATGGCAACGGGACAAAGGGGGCACGGAAAGGATGCTATAGGCCCATACTTTACAGTTTACATTGGAGCAAACAAAGTGTGAAAGGTTACTTAAGATCAATGTTTTTAAGGTCTGAAGGGGCGCACATATGTACACCACATTTATTCAGATCAAACAAATGTGGAGTACATAGATCTACATATTAAGATATGTAAATAGACATCTAGGTCGATAGGACAAATATGGCATGATAAGGATGTCATATGTACATGCTATACATATTTAGGTCGGATTACAATTTACAACGGGGTAAAATGGACTCACGCCTTTCAATTAAAGATTCTCTTATACGTTTACATTTACATTTACACCTTTGCATATTCATCAAAATGCACTCGGGAATGCCAATCTAGAAAAGTGTCATCCCTAGCTGAGTAAAAGATCTTAAACGGTATTGGATGCTTAAAAGGGGGTCTGGAAGTAAGAAAGCCAGATGCCCAGGTCCAAGGTTGCACCTATTGTACTTAAGATGGAACTTCTTAGCACAATTCTTTTCTTTCTTTGTTATGCTTTCCTCGGGTTTTCAGAGATTTTACCTTCTACCATTCTCCATTGCTCTCTGATTCATGTAGTATTGATTGGCAAAATTATTGCACTCTCGTTATAAACAGGTTCTTGAATAATAAAGGTTGAGATGTAACTAGAATGGGTTGGCTTAGTAGATCTGATCATAGGAGCCATTTGAGATGAATTAATTGATCTTAGGAACTGCATAATCAATGGTTCTTAAGCCAATTCACCAAAGTTTAAGCCAATTCACTAAAGTTCTCATATCACTAGTGCCAATAAAGACCAGTGTAAATAGTAAATGGCCTTGAGAGAATTGATTCAAGTCATAGTGGTCACCTCCTTAGGACTTTTATCTTGTTACTTTGATAGTTAAATGTAATAGGGTCGAGCAATTGTCTAAGAATAGTCAAGGTACAAGTAAGTTGGCTTGACCTTATACAAATATTAAAAATATTATAATAATAGTGATGAGGAGGAGTTAAAAATTCAAATGTTCTATTGGGAAGAGATGGAAGCGATTAGAAAACAAGCATAATTTTCAAAATCTAAAATCAAACTGCTATTAAAAAGTGGCTTCAAGAATCAAATAATATTCAAACGAATCTTAAAAAATTCCAAATGATTATTCATTCGGTGTACAGAGCCAGCGTTCCAGGTGATGTCCAAACACCAAGCGTAGACCCTCCTACACAATTCAGTGAAAATAATAATCCGTTAAATCATATTCTCCCATAGCTACTTACTTTTCGGCTCCTCATACATCTATCCTTGAGAGGGTCAGTTAGATCTGAGGACTGAGAAATTCATCAAACTTGATTGTGATAGGAATATTTGTCTACAAAAAGGAAATCGGAAAGGGAAAACTACTCGCCTCCATTTACCTTTAACTTCAGTCCTCTATAACTAAGACGGCTAATCTACATGAATTTATAAACATTGATAGGTTCTACTCATGGAACCACGGATTTATCTCTCAACCAGGTCATTGATACTAAATCATCTGGAATAGTTTAAAATTCTTATGACTGCCTGCATGTCCCCAAGCATCAATTGACTAGTAATCCTCATCTCCAAAAAGAACGGTTAGAACCTTACTTCTTTAGGAATCTTACAGCAAACGATCTTCCTAGTACTAAAGAAGCCACGGGACCCTTCATCACCAACTTATGGTTTATCTCCCTAATAGTAGCATTTAAGGATCCAAACAAAACCAACCTTTCTCAAAAGGAGCAAAAGATCATAAATATAGCATCCACAATAGCATACAAATATACAAATGAGTGTGTGCAGTGCGCAATACACGGTATCAGCTGACCAATTTCCAAAAGAAAATTGGATGAGGGCCTGCACCAACCCACATTAGTGAGAAATAATATCCATGTTTACAAAAAAAAAAAAAAAAAAAAAAAAAAAACCTTCCCAACAAGGGAGGTATAACTATAAGAAGTAAAAATATTAGACAGTTTGTAACAAGATATAACTTGGTAAACAACATTGTCAAAGTATTTTGTATAAGTCTGTCTTTTCTGCGCATATTTTTTTATTTCATTCTTTCCACATATTCCAAAAGAAAGCCATGATGAGGTTTTTCCATAGTAGAACTTTTGCATTCTTGAAAGGATGGTACATTAAGGCCATGTCCAATAAATCCTTTACCTCCCTAGAAAATGTGAGATTCATCCGAGTATATTGAGAATCGGTGTCCAGAAATTCTGAGCGTATGTGGATATTGCATAAATAAGTGACTTTGTGATTCGTTTCTTTTTTTTGCATAATAGACACCAGTTTCAAAAAAGAGTCATGTCGGACACTTTTTTTTTAAAGATTTTTTACTTGTGCTAATGACTTTATGCGCTATTCCCCAAAGGAAGAACTTCACCTTTTTAGGGTGATATCCTTTCCATACTATCTTTGCTAGCCTGGGATTTATTGCTTCTACTTTTTCCCCATGTTCATCATTGTAGAGAATATCCTGTCAACACTAGGGAGTCAAGTCAATGAGTCTACTTCATTTGACAAAACCACTTGGGCAAGTCAAAGGCTTAATTCGGCTCATTTCGTTGCTTCGCCTTTTAAGTTCCTACCGAGCTTCAAGTCTCAGAATTTGTTGACAACATCCCAAGTTTCTTTGACCGTGACTTTTTGGCTATGAGAGAGTCTGCACAAAAGTGGATATCGCAAGGCTAGCATGGAATTTTCAATCTATAAGTCAGTCTATAATGATGTGCTTCCTCCACCACCCACCTTATGGTGAATTCGGTTGATGATGAGGTTTTAATATTTTTTTATGTATTTCCAAGGCCCTTTTGCAGAAGATGAAAGGGGTTCATTTTTGCATGATGTAGGAGTATATTTAGCCCTTATAAGTTTTCTCCACAAGGCGTTTTCTTTACAATGATATCTCCATATCTATTTTGCAATGAGAGGTTTGTTCTTATTTATCGAGAAAAGACCATTCCATCGAATAAGGTGTGGGTCATCATTCCACATATAGTTTCAAGATAATCTTTCTATATCCAAAGCCACTTTTTGTGGCACTTCAAATAGAGACATGAAGTGGGGAGGTTGGATAATGTGGCTTGTATTAGGGTGAGTCTTCTACCTTTTGAAGTATAACATGATAACCATGTTGACAACCTTCTTTCTACTTTTCCAATAATAGTCTTCTAGAAGGAAAAAGATTTGTGGCTTCCTCTAAAGGGTAATCCTAGGTATATATTCGGTCATTCACCCTTTTTACAACCATATATGTTAGCAAATTTTTCAATAATCTTTGTGCTAATATTGATGCCCATAATCTTTGTTTTTTTGGAGATTGATATTTTTTCCAAAGAATCCTTCAAAGATTTTTCCCATCTCGATCATGTTTTTTTATGGAAGACACATCTGTCAAATCAGAAAAGAGGATTGTATCATCTGCAAACTGAAGGTGGGTTGATCCTTTAAGTCTTCCTTACCAATTTGAAAACCTTTTATCTTCCCTTTTGTATTCTGCTTTTGTCGGTAGGTGATTGAGACAATCCATTACCATGATGAAAAGAAAAGGAGATAGTGGATCACCTTGTCGAAGACACCGTGTGGCATAAATCTTCCCTCTCAGTCTGATTAATCAAAATATAGAGGCGTGTACAAGAACTAGTCTAGCTTATACACTCACAGATTAATGATTAAAATTAATAATGTTTTCCAACCATTCCACCAGTCAAAAGTACAGTAACAGAAAAGGAAAGTATGCTTTCATGGACCAAGATACAAACGTGTCTTGTGGGAGAACTAAAGAAAAATTTTGTTTCGTCATTTCCTGTGAGAAACATAATGATAAATTCTTTGTAAACTAAAATGTGTTTTTGGTCGTGAATGGCTGATAAATCCAGCTTCATGTTTTCCCCACCTATGCCTCCTATGTCTCCTATCTGTCTAGAATTTACAACTTCTGATTTTAAAACACCAAAAATTCAGGTATAACGTATCTTACAACTCTACATTAACAAATAAAAAATCATTTCTTTCATTTATAGGATTATGATATTAAAAGATAGTTATATGACTGCCCATATAAATCACAAGATGATATGAACAATATAAATGTGACAGTAAAAATTTGCAGTACTAAAAGACAAAAATAGATCATGCACAAACAAATTAGTATGCATTTTAAATACAAAAGGTATAGGGAATAGATAGTACCAATTTCCTCATCAAAGAAAAATGATCTCTCTTTTTGCTGATTGAAGAGAATCTGAACCATGAACACAAATTTTTCTCTGATCCAAGCCACACATTGCTGTAATGCTGAAATAATGCAAAAGAACCTTGTGAAAACCAAAACGAAAAATGAACTGGTAGCAACTATATTGACATCAGTATTGAATTCATGTCTCATACTCAGGAGGCAAAGCATATATATAGGGACACAGATAAAAATTTATTATGACCTGTTGGGATGTGTAGCCTTAGCTTTAGATGCATCTGTTGGCCCAATCATAGCACGCCAATCTGCGATTGGATTTTTGTTTCTCCAAAACCATAATGCAGGATCGCACGATTAGTGTTAGACATAGGAAGGACACCCAACTGAAATACAGGATTGCACGATTCTAGAGAGATTCCATGTTAGTTTAAAACCTTTACATAAAAAATCAGATTAAAAATCCACCAGATTATTTTTAATGTCCTCTGCTATTCAAAGATCCACATTTCAACTAAGTTAAACTATTAGGTATGGCTTGAGGTGGAGAAGCACACTAACGAACATCTCTTAAGCTTGAGATACGTATCATAAACTTCACTATGTTGCTAATGTTTTGACTGAAATTACTTGAAAAGAAAGTAAGATAAATAGTCGTTGCATGAATTCGTAATCTCAATATCAGCATTTTCAAATTGTTGTTTCGAGTGCAACAGCTGTTCATGTGATTGCTGCATTAATCATGAGTGAAGATGATATCCACCGCTTGCTAGAAAATTAAACAAGGAAAGCAGTTCAAATGCAAGCATAAAGAAGCAATAATAAAGATACTTTGAGGTACAACATCACTATTGATACGACAGTACCACAAAACAGTCGATAATTGTTGGGAGGGAGTCCGACAATAGCTAACTAAGGAAATGATCATGGGTTTATAAGTAAGAAATACATCGATGCCTTTTGGGAAAACCAAAAGCAAAACCACGAGAGCTTATGCTTAAATTGGACAATATCATACTATACTATTGTGGAGGTTCGTGATTCCTAACAAAAACATATAAAATTATGCAAATGATTATTTCCAGAGGAAACTTGGCAACATTTCAAAGATTCAACACATACCTTGTCATGTATTTGACCAGACTAGAAAGGAAGCTTCTTGACAAATGTTCAGCACAAAAGCGACTTGCTCTATCTTCATGCAATTCCATTATTCTTTCCTTCAAAATTCTGAAGCCTGACTTCAAAATGGCCAGTTTAATTATATCAGTGAAGTTACCATGCAACCCATCTGGTTTTACCATAGTCAAAGTTTTCTCCGTTTCCATACTTCCATTACTTGCGAACCTAAATTCACGCCATTCAATATTGTACGAATTATTTATTATGTGAATAAGAAGAAGGTCAAAAAAAGAAAAACAAGTTACAACGAGTAAAAATGTCAGAGTCTAACAGATCAAAAAGCAAAGTGTCACATAAAATATCACGATTTTAATATAATTGATGATAATACGGAGAAATGGAGAAGGCAATTTAATGCTCGTGTCGCGACAATAATCTTCAACAGAAGGCAGCACAACCAAAAAAAGAAAACCATCTGACAGATAAAGAAAATAAGTGAAATTAATATCATTAAATTTAAAGGTACCAAAAAAGAAAACAGTTCTGAAATTGCTCAACAGAATCATCTATAGCTAATAAAAATGGATTTTCTTTCTTCTTCTTTCTTTTTCTATTTCTATTTCTATTTCCATCGTTATTGATTGAATGTACATCCGATTAATTAAGTCATCCAACACGAATTCTACATTAAGATACAAGTAAACGATGTCAATATGTACCAAGTAAACTTTAGCTGCTATATCAAATTAGACAAAAACAGTACGACTATCGATGACGATGACAAATACTCGATCCCTTGGACCTAAGCAACCAGATGATCGAAAATCTTCAGAATAAAACACGACGCCATAGCATTACTTACACGCCAGAAAAGCGATATCAACAATGGAGAATAAAAAGAGATCCCGAAAACCAACAGAAAACTAAACAGATCATCATCTCCTGATCAAAACTGCCATAACAACAATATAAATCGCATCAAAAGCACGGGAATCAACCAGACATTTCGCAATCGCATCAAGTTCGAAAAGTAAAAAATCAACTGGATTCAGAACATCCGAGGCCGCCACACCGGAGAACGAACTCAGTTATTTTCCAAAAACTCAACTAATACAGCTAAGCATACAATCCGTTTCAACAAATAGTCCGTAATTTCAAGAACGATAACTAATCCTGCAGTTTCTTAACCTCCGTTCTTTAGTTTATGCCATAACCGATTGAAACGCGTACCTGCGATTCGTAGAGCCGAGTTGAAAGAGACAGAAACTGAAGCAGTTGCAGAATAATGTAATGGCGGGAAAGTTGAAAGCAGTACAGAATGAGGGGAGAGAGAGATAGAGAGGAAGAAGATGGCGGTAACTTGGAAATCACGGGAAGCCGTAGGATTAGACGATTTGTTCTGAAACAATAACGCTCCCTCACCAATTGCTGAGATTGTTTTCTCTTTTAATATTAGAGGTGTGAACAGGGTGGATGATTGGCTGAGATTAAAACATTCTTTTAATCAATATAATTGTTGGGGTAAATAATTTTTTTTTTTTAACTCAAATCAAATCTATTAAATAATTAATTCAATTTTTTAATATTAATAAACTAAAATAAAATATTATATGTAAAATATGTATTACAAAGAAAATTTTATTTTCATAATTGGAGAATAAATAATATAATGAATATGTGTGTATTAAATATCTATAGCTTGTCTTCTTCTATGACACATAGTACCTCTACATCTCATTCATCATCTATCTCGTTTTTTTACACTGACACATTACTTTCGACAGACTTTTTCTTGGACCAGCAATTTAGACATGGGGCCATTTTTCCCATAATTGTATCAAATACCTTCAAATTTCTTTGCACGAGAACTTTTGTTGTTGTTCTACTGAGCTCTCCAAAGTTGTGCAGTTCCTTGATGACTTATTACTTTGTCACCGTTTTTGTATCCATGTTTGGTAGACGATCTCCAACTTTCACTTGCTAGAGTGATCTTTCTTCACCCTTTAAATGTGATGTCTCCCATTTGTTTAACCATGACTTTTTGGCTTACTGACAAATTTTCAAACACTACAAGCAATGGTTGAACGGGCCAACCTTGTACAACAATAACAAAACTTCTATATTCTGGTTGCAATCCATATATAATAATTCTCTTTATTCGAGCTTCTCCAATAATGAACTTGGGGTCTAGTTAAGTAGTCTTCTGTCATATCGACTCGACTTTGTGGAAGTACTGAGTAATCGTCATGTCACGTTGTGAAATTGATAACATATCGTTCTCTAGAAGTTGTAGCTTTGTATCGTTCTCTTTTTAAAACAGTATCATGAACTTGTCCTGTGCTTCTTTCAGTGTTTTGTCATTCCAAATGTGCTCTAACATCTTTTATCCGACTGTGGTTTTCAAGACAAACATTGCTTTGTCTGCTTTAATTCTCCATTCGCGTAAGACACAATCAAGATCCTCCTCTAGCGACATAGTTTCACTCCCTCCAACAACCTCCCAAAGGTCACGTCGTTGTAAACAGGACATCATGCATGTTGTCTACATGTTGTAGTTGTTGTTGAGTTTGTTGATTCCTCCAACGATTTGAAAATCACCCATCGTGTTGGCTATACCTCAGTAATACTAAGCAAGCTCTTTCGACACAAAACTTATAGTGTCACAAACTACTCACGACTAAAGAAACCCACTCACTACGATCTCAAGAAATCGTCTCTGATGTGGAAGATCAGATAAAGATGCAACCACATACAAAACTAAGAATTCCAAAAGATCAAACAACTATACTAACTTCGTTCTTATACTAGATTGTTGAACATAATTCTTTCTGGAAAATATTCACTTGAGAAGAGATTACCAAACACCTTATAGAACATTACTACACTTTGCCACTTGAAACTGTTTGTGTGATTTCTTAGAATCAAAACTTTGGGAAAGTGGAGGGTATTTATAACAGAAGCTATACAATTTATTCTTGAAATATGTAAATCATTTTTAAAAAATAGTTAGATATTTTTATTCTTAAAATATTTAAATAATTTTCTTAAATCCTAAAATACTTAAATTATTTTCTTAAAATTATACGCACAATTATTAGATTTTCTCTAAACATATTGGATTCGTAGTTAATTTATTAATTTGTAAAGGTAGAGGTAAAAACTTTCATTAAATTTAACTAAAATTTTTACCCTAGTTTCAAGTAGAAAGATAAAATTATTACATGAATATTCATGTTCTAAATTTAAAAGTACATGTAATTTAAAAGTAAATGAAAATTCAAAGACTAGTAATTTTTTATGTTCAAAAACATTATTTTAATTGGGCTAATGTTTAACCCAACTTCAACTTAATTGGAGGTCAAAATATAATAAAATAAAATAAAAGGTGAAAAAAAAAATAATTGAATTACGTCATATCTATATATATATATAAGAGACTAAATAAAAATTAAGTTATTGTAAATTTTTTTTTTTAAAAAGTAAATTTAAAGAAGAGAAAATTCGTGGCTAGTTTTAATTTTTTTGTCTAAAAAAATAAAATAAATCTTAAAAAAAAAAAAAGGAAAATTAAACAAAACCTTGGAAGCCACTTTAGCCTGCCTGGTTTTCTTGATGAGAAAGTTTTTCGCGGCTTCTGTGTTATAGTTCTTCAAGCTCTCAATAACCATTTTCTCCACAGTCCCAATCCATCGGAACCAGAAGCCATGAGCCGTGGGAGTGGAGGAGGATACGATCGTCACATTACTATATTCTCCCCTGAAGGCCGCCTATTTCAAGTCGGTATGTTATGCAATCCTGTCCTCTCCGATCTCGTTTTTGTTTCCATCGAACCAGATGAACTGTCTTTTAGGGTTTGCTATTTTCAATTAATGTTTGCAAATCATTGCCTCCGAAGTGATTTAGCTAGACCTTTGAGTTTGAGTGGTGAAAATTCCCGGAAAGGAATATCTCCGTTCTGAAATGTGACGCTGTTTCTTAGAAGTGAATATTGTTGTCGAGAGAATTCATTTAGTGATTTGCTGACAGAATTTAGGGGAACGTATAATCGAATTTTGTATTTTATGTGCGACAATGAAGGTATTTCTCTTATAGGTGTAATGTAGTGTATGGTTTTTGATCTGTTAGTGATAGCTTTTTGTAGAGTACGGTGTAATTTTGAAATATTTGGAAACTTTAGGCTGGATTCCCTGACAATCAAGATTTAACGTCTAGGATTGTTTTAGAAAGGACTGCGCATGGAATTGCTTCCAGTCAGTAAATTGTTATAACCTCCCAGACGCCTACATTTTGAACGATCTTAGGTTTATCATGCATTTTTCCATTTGGTTTCGAGTTTTAGCTTGTCAACATTGTTATGTTTTCATGACTTGTTCATTTTGAAACGACCAACTAGAGTATGCATTCAAGGCTGTGAAATCTGCTGGAATTACCTCGATTGGCGTCAAAGGGAAGGATTCGGTTTGTGTTGTAACTCAGAAGAAGGTCCCTGTGAGTATTAGTTGTTTGGCCGTGCCACTTCCTCGACTCTCGTGTATAATGCTCAACACTTTGGCTCCCTTATAGTAATTCCCATGTTTCTTGCAGGATAAACTTTTGGATCAGACAAGTGTCACTCACCTTTTCTCCATCACTAAGTATCTGGGCTTACTCGCAACTGGCATTACAGGTTTCTTTTATGTCTTTTTGCTTCATAGTTATTCAAGATAACATCATAATTCGAGAAAGATTTCTCATCTCTTTTTGCTTCATAGGCAATGGCAGAACTGTACTCATTAAGATATCCGATTCTCATTAACTGGCTCGTTAAGAATCCCTTGACGTTATTCCTGAACTAGTCTTTTTATGTGTATGATGATGTCTGTCATACTAATAATTTTCTCTACTCTAAATTGTACTGTTATTAGTTCAAAGTACCACATAGTCCTTATCCACTTTTTATATGCCACTCAGCTGATGCCAGATCACTGGTTCAACAAGCAAGGAATGAAGCAGCAGAGTTTCGATTCCGATATGGTTATGAGATGCCTGTGGATGTTTTGGCTAAATGGTATTCTGATTATTTCCTTACTTTTTGAGTAACCAATTGCTGAGGAAGTGCTGGTGTTTTATTTGTCCTCAGTTATGTGGCAATGGTCAACTGTGTTACAAAATCTCTTTCAAGTTTAGACAAGGCTTTTAAGCATAAACACTTTTGTGAAAATATGTTGTTTCAAAGTTTGATACGTGGACATCAATCAATGAGTTTTGGGAGATGATTCAAGGAACTGGACTGATGATTTTGGAATCAATTCTTCTGCAGGATTGCTGATAAATCACAAGTCTATACCCAGCATGCTTACATGAGACCTCTTGGAGTTGGTTGGTTTCTGCTTTATTTCTTATTTTAGATGCACTTGTACTTGAAAGTTGAACATATTATGCTATAATCTGTTAGGCATTAGCTTTTGAGCAGGTCGTTATTTATCCCTTAAAATTTTCTTTTCCTTCTGGTTTTTCTTTAGTGGCAATGGTTTTAGGCATTGACGATGAGTATGGGCCTCGCCTCTATAAATGCGATCCTGCTGGTCATTTCTTTGGTCACAAGGTACGTAATCTTTTAGAAGAAAAATGACTGGGTCAGTAATTTTACATGTCATTTTGCAATTTGTACCTATGTCAAAAATATTATATTTCCCAATTGACGGATGCCACAATAGCAAAATTTTTCATTAAAATTGCTTTCCAGTTGATGTTGGTAAAATAAGAAAAGAACTAAATCTCTACAGATTGTAGTCAAACTAGCTTGTATCGGTGTGTGTGTGTGTGTGTATATATATATATATATAGATGGATAGGTAGATAGATTGGTGCGGTTTCTTAGGCTCTAGGGAATGGATAACTTTTTTAAAAAATATTGCTTCATCTTTTCTCTGCATCAATTTGAGGCTCCTAAAAAAGTAAAGGAAAACATAAGGAAAAAACTACTCTTATATTGCTAACATGAGTTTACATACGTCTTGATCATGAGGTTAGAGGTTTAAATCTCCCATTTCACGAATTGTTGTACTAAATAAACAAATAAATAACTCTGATACCGTCTTGCTTCTAGGTAAACTCTGTTCTAAATAACATTGATTTATATACAGGTACATTCTATTGTTTGAGTGCACCAGTGTTTGATATAACGTCATATATATATTGTGATGCATAGGGCATCATTCCTATTTAGAGTACACGCACTTGAGCTGCTACACAATCTACCTGATTTGATTGTTGCTTTAGTTGCTTCTCCGGCATACTTCTTTGGCATGTTTGTTACGTATTTCACTGCTTTAGCTTCTTTTACCTGTTAACTTGATATTATTATTTGGTTACCCATGCGGATCGACTTGTATGATTTAGGCCACTAGTGCTGGACTTAAGGAGCAGGAGGCTATTAATTTCCTGGAAAAGAAAATGAAGAATGATCCTGCTTTTACTTATGAGGAGACCGTGCAGGTAGATCTCATTTCATTTCAAAAGTTCAGACATTGTACCGGTCACGTCGTTTTCTCTTTTCCTTGCCTGAAAATAATTTTTTCTCATTAACCATCATAGATTGGCTCCGTGGTCAATAAGGGTCTTGAAAATTATAAAAGGCTTCTGAAAATTATAAAAGGCTTCAGAGGGAATGAGTTCAAACCCTAATAACCCTAATAAAAACCTTAGGGAAAGAGTTCAAACCATATGAAAGGGCTTGGAGGGAATGATTCCAAACCATGTCTCGTGGCAGCTACCTCTGCCTATGATTTTAATATTTAATGAGTTGCCTTGACAATTAAATGTAGTAGGGTCTTGTCTTGTGTGATAAATCGAGTTGCATGCAGGCCAGCCTAGTCAGTCACCGAAAAAAAACTTTTTTTTTTTTTTGAGTAATTGCGAGTAACCCGTGTTTGTCCACAGTTATTTTTCCTAGAAAGAGAACGACTTACATTGGAAATATTCTCTCAAGTAACTTTGGACCTGATTTCCCTATTTGTTATTTTCATTTCATCTTCTTCCATTATGCACGGGTTTGATACAAGTGGCAACATATTTATGATTATGACTAATTTTTCACGTCAAATTCTTGTCTAAGACTGCAATTTCTGCACTTCAATCTGTGCTCCAAGAGGACTTCAAGGCCAATGAGATTGAGGTACTAAATTTCATGGTTTCTTTTTTTCCACATATATGCTCCAGAATCTATTGAATGGAATGTTACATGATCGGTCTTAGATTCAAATTCTGATTTGACATGGTAGCTTCCACCATGTTGACAAGTTGTTATGTTATTGTCATTGCCATTATTCCACTTTATAAATGTTCTTTTCTGTCAATTGCACCATAATTATGACGATAACCCGAACGAATTCACAACGTTTATAGGTGGGAGTTGTTAGGTCAGGGAATCCCATCTTCAAAGTGTTGAGCACCGAAGAAATTGATGAACATTTGACTGCCATTAGTGAGCGAGATTGATCTATGTTATGCAAAAAAAAACGAACTGAAGAAGTTGTAGAACATTCGACTGCCAACAGATATGAGAAGATCAGTTGTTGATTCGTGCTATATATGCTACAAACAGTACAAAAGTCATCTTTAGAATTTGTATTTCTGAGGAATTCATCATGTTACATGATTTAACGCACTTAAACTAAGTTTCTGTTAGCATATAGCATGAGGGGAAGTAGATTTTGAACCGTCTCTCTCATTCATCATGGTAGAGAGAAAAACTCATTAAGTTAAGTTCCTCTGGGATACTTCTAAGCCCTATAAAATGCAAGTTTTAGTTCTTATATTCAAAATTTGACTGACAGTTCTAATGTGTTCTTAAGAAAGATTATCAATGGAAGGTCTTTCTAGATCATCAATCATTTGACACATGAGAACCAAGTGAAGGATGGGTTTCCATACAGCCAAAAATTATCAGAGGGTCTTTGTAACGACTCGACCCAGATCCACTGCTAGCCGATATTGTCTTCTTTGTGCTTTCCCTTCCAGGCTTCTCAAGGCTTTTAAACGTGTTTGCTAGGGGAAGGTTTTCGTACCCTTATAAAGAGTGTTTTGTTCTCCTCCCCAACCAATGGGGGACATCACAATTCACTCCCCTTCGGAGCCAGTGTCTTCGTTGACACTTGTTCCTTTTTCCAATCGATGTGGGACTACCACCAAATCCACCCCCTTTGGGCTAGCATTCATACTAGCACACCGCCTCGTGTCTATCTCCCTTTGAGAATAGCGAGAAAGACACATCATCCGGTGTTTGGCTCTGATACCATTTGTAACGACTCAGATCCACGGCTAGGAGATATTGTTCTCTTGACTTTCCTTTTCGAGCTTCTCCTCAAGGCTTTAAAACGCGTCGAGAAGGTTTTCACACATTTATAAATGGTCTTAACGGTGTTTTGTTCTCCTCTCCAACCAATGTGGTTGGGGACATCACAGTCTTTCGAGTAGAACAAATGATTTTTTAAAATTTATTTTATTTGAGCATAAGATTTGATGGGAAAGGAATTGTGGAGCATTCGTTTGTGAAGGAATTTATAGTTTAAACTCACCATTTTAGACGTCTTTTTCAACATTGTATATGGAAAGCAAAAGCAATAATTTCAGCTACTTGAATCCGAAATTCCTGGTTCACCAATTTCTCTTAATATTATTATTATTATTATATTTGAAATATTTCATTATTAACGTAAGATATTATGGGACTTCTCCATCATCGAATCTTTTTCATCGCTCAGGTATATACCCCTGCATTTCAACTAATTTTAAAAATAAAAACAAGCTTTTAAAAATTGACTTAAAATTTAAAAATGGTTTAAACAAAACAAAAAATCAGTATATTTGCAGTTTATTTTACTAATAATTTTATTAAATATTAAACTATATATATATAAAAAAAATGAAACAAAATTGTTAAAAACTTACTCATCTCTCTAACCCAATTATTATTGCTTTCTTATTATTTTAAAATATTCATGAATTTATAATATTAATTATTATTAATTAACATCAATGACATAATACGCCTTCCCATTTGTGAAAGTAGCGCGGAAACGCCCCATTTTCAATTCATTCAATCCATTGACATTAATTTTCTTTTACTATATATATATATATATATGATTTATTTAAATAAATAATTTGTTTTAAATTTACACGTATTAAACATGGAATTTCATTGTACTACCGGAGATTTATTAAATATAATAATTGATTAGGACGGTAATGTTCCTTAATACAAAATTTAATTATATAATAATTTAGGGTTATTAGTGTGGATCTTAAATAAATTTATTCATCTGTATTGGTAAGTAATCCTATTCAAGTTGTTCGAGTCATCAATCTAACTAACTCAAAATTTATCTGATCGATCGTTTTGTCAGGGGCCTACAGTCATTATGTGACATAGAGATTACGTCCCGTATGAAACTTAAGAGTATACCGCTTCTACGAATAGCTCTTGACGCTGCATCTCTTCTGAGACCAGAGCCCTTTATCATGACTTCTGCTTGTTGTATGCCTTGATCTGCTACTGCCCGAATAGCATTTTTTGCTATTCGGGCCTTTGAATTCACAAGTACGAGTGGAGGACCAAGAAATTACCCGACCCCGTACATTTGTAACAGTCACAATTGTAATGTTGAAACTTGGTTGAATATGAATAACGCCCTTTATTTGTTCGAGAGAAGTGAAGGGGAAGTACAACTAGGAAATTACGTGGAGGAATATTTGGAACGTAGACGTACAGTACAAGTTTGATGGAGTACACGTGGCCGAAAAACATTGGTTAGTTGATTATAGAAGAGGAAACCTTCCATAACAGCACACATTTACTAACAATAGCCCGAACCCGGAACTGCTTAGCTGGCAGTCCAATATTCAACGGCTCAAAATTTTGACAGCAAAATTTGCTGACGTGGTCGAACCGAATTAGATCCTTTATAAACCCTTCGAAGTTTCATGTTCTTCTCAATCTCTTCTTCATAACTCCAAACCTCGCCCTTTCTCCTTCGCCGAACTTTCACTTCAAGACCCGCTAAGAACACCGCGAAGAATCCACTTCGAAGATTCTGATTGTAATACAAGTGAGAGAGAGTTCGATTTTTCTTTGCGAAGACTCTGATCGGAACTGGTTCGTCTTGAGATTAGTTCAATTTTGAATTTGAAATGGTTTTCCTCTGTGAAATTTCATCGACTGATGATGAAGAAGGAAAGTGGGAAAAGGCGAAATAGCAGTGGAAGAATCCTTCGTAATTAGGCGGAGGGAGAAGGAAATTCTTGTATATCTCTTTTTAATCTGCTTCTGTTGGTGAGTCCTCTCTTCGATTTTAGGAATTTCGCGATTTCTAGGGTTCTTCGTTGGTTACAGATCGTAGTGCAGTTGTTTCGAGATTTCTAGGGTTCTTCGTTGTTTATAGATCGTAGTGTAGTCGTTTGATTTGTGTAACGCTGTTTTGATATCCTAATTTCAGATTCTGTTTGCGGAATCACATGTCGGCGACCGTTCTTAGCGATTCAATCATCGAACCTCAAACAGCGTCAACGACGCTAATCGTTCACATGGAGGCGGAGTTCGTGAAATGCTATTGCTGCGGACTTACAGAGGAATGCACACCAGCGTACATAGAACGCGTTCGCGAGCGCTACAACAGGAATTGGATCTGCGGATTGTGTTCCGAAGCGATCAACTACGAAATCCTCCGTTCCGGTAGACTAATCACGGCGGAAGAAGCCATGGAAAATCACATGAACCTTTGCAAGAAGTTCACTGCATTGAAACCGCCTCCAAATCCGACGGTGCATTTGATTACAGCGATGCGACAGATTCTGAAGCGCAGTTTAGATTCTCCCTCACGCGGTTTGAGGTCGATGCCTGCAAGCCCGACGAAGAAAAACTCTCGGCTGCCGTCGCTCTCTCGATCGGAAAGTTGTCTTTCTTCCCTCTCTGGTTCGTGAATCAATCATAAAAGGTACAAGGATTCCTTCCAAGGATCAAGTAAACCCAAAATCTCAATCAAACTGAAAACATTGGGGATCCAATAATACTCTGTATTCCAAAAAAAAAACAAAAAAACAAAAAATAAATAAACTTATTGATCAAAAGCCTAAACTATACCTTACAACTTCATCCATGGCGGGTTTCACTATCAGTCAGAATTGGCAAATTTGGAACAATCTCGTTTATTTATTTTAAATAATAACAATAATAAAGAAAGAACAAAGAGGGTAATTGATAGTTTTACAATTTGTCCTTGAAGAGCATCTCAATCATTCCATCAATTCTGACATCTAATTTCATACAATCTTGCAAATAGAACACCCAACTACCCTCTCAATTTGTCTTTATTAATCATTAATGTGTTATTTATTATATTTATTTATTTCTATGTATTAAAAATAGACTTTGTGCCATTATTTTCCCTTTTTTTTGGTAGGAGATTCTTCTTAATAATTGAACTAATGAGAGAAAATATAAATATTAATAATAATAATAAGAAGAAGAAGAAGAATCAAGAATATGATAATATAATGTTATTTTCTTTGATTTTGTCAACTTTTTTAAGTTTCTATCCCAATGAATTATTGAAACTTAATGATTAATTCTTTTAGTCTTTCTATTAATCATTCATACCTTTACTTTCAATTTTATATTTATACAAATTTTGCTTCCTGAACATCCATCAATTTCTTATTCACATTTTTTTAATTAATAATATATATATATATATTACATAATTTGTGACAAAGTTATTATATGGTTGGTGTAATGTGAAAAGAACGAAAAGAAAGCAAAAGTTCGTCATACCTATCTAATCAAATGAGTGATATGAACGAGGACAAATTGTTGATAAATTTGATTAAAAGCAGCCAAAAATCAATTAGATTACAGCAATCTCGACTTTATGAATAGTTTGGTTTTTTTTTTTCCTATAATTATTATTCAATAATGATAGGTTTAGAAGAAATGAGCTAAAGTCGTAGTAGCTATCTCTACCTATGGTTTAGTTAGTACCTCAACAACTAAATGAAGTCGAGACAAGTGGTTGTCCCGTGGATTAGTCGAGATGCGTGAAATTTGATCATTTTCAGATCTTAGTCAAAAGTTGGTAGAACAAGTAGGTTAAACCCTTCCTAAAAAGCACCAAAATGAACAAAGTGAGAAAAGACAAAAGAAAGATGAGAGATTGTTTGACATTTAGTATTGACTCTCTTGCTTGGTGGTATTCTCGACTCACCAAGTTCCTCGGGCCTTCGTGTTCGGCTCGAATCAAATCTCTACTTTTGCTTTATCAGATAAGATATGTGATTAGTTACTCATAAATATTGATTCTTTCGGTTTGAAGAGTCTGTACTATTCACTCTCTTGCTTGGTGATATCTTTTTGTTGGGTTATGAAGCATGCTGCCTATTTATACCCATTGTTATACATGTTAAAAATAGATACGAAAATGTTCATATTGTTGGATATGACCCAGGATCGAAATATGTCGAAACAAGTAAAAGAAGCAAAAGAGCAATTTGAGTGGAGAGATCTTTTGGAGCACAGAAACATTAAGCACTTAGCTTTTCAATTCTCTTTGTTGTTATTGTGGAAAATGCATACATCTCATGAATATTTATAGTGGAGAAAGCACTAGCTAGTTCCTAAACTTTCTGCTCAAGTTAAAAACCACTAACAATCTTCCTAATTAAAGCATAAAACTTGGTTTTCATCTAGATCTAGTGTGTGCGTTGTTGTGCGATCCTAACAGCTGACATCAGAGCTAGGCGAGATTCCCCACCATCTATGAA